AAAGCTTGCAGACCAATGAGCACAGAGATATCATCGCTCTGCTTTTGCCTTCGGCTGCAGGTGATAACAAAATCAAGCATCTTTCTATTTGGACTTTTAGATTAAATAATATAAATTCACTTTAGCTCTGAATAGCTTTATAGTGAGGGAAGTATAGAAAAAATGTGTGATCAAAATATTGCGCCTTCACTCTGGATGGAGTTAAAGGAGAGAAAAATGAACCAATCTGATCATGGTGTCCTCAGGCAGACTCTTGACCCCACGCTGCCTCCTGTGTAGGCAGCCCCTCACTCCCCCCTGAGTCACCCCCTGGAAGTGAGACAGAATCAGGATGCACATGGTTTGTATGACTTCTGCCTGCCAAATAACAAAAAGATATATAACATTACAACACCGTTTACTCTCCCCGAGTGAGGAGTCAGGCTCAAGAAATGAAGAGATATAGTGCTAAGAAGTCCACAGGGCGCCTCCATGTTGGAGTTATGTCTGGATGAAATGCGTTGTGATTCATATGCTTTGAAGCAATGTGTTCCAGGACACATTTTTTTTTTTTTTTTTTTTTATTAAACCTTTATTTAACCAGATAAAAACCCATTGAGATCAAGACCTCTTTCACAAGGGTGACCTGGCCAAGAACAGGCAGCAGCAGCACACGTCATAAAAAACAAAACAAGTAGCAAGATTAGATGAAGACTTCAGAAATATAGAAAAATATAAAACATACAGTATAACAGTAAATGGCAATAATTGTAATAAATAATAATTTAAAACAATAACAATTTAAGATCTAAAACAGAGGCATTGTTGACAAGAAGCTTTCTTGCCCTTTTCTGTTCGCACACGAGGAACATGAAGATGCAAACAGTCCTTAGAGCGTAAGGTGTAACTACTGTCCATTCTTCGCATAAAAGTACTTAAATAATGTGGAAGCATGAAAATAAGTGACTTATAAACCAAAGTCATCCAATGTACATGTCGCCTGTTAAACAGGGAAGACATATGGGTTTTAAGATAGAGATCACAGTGATGAGTAAGGTAGCTACAACCAGTAATAAATCTTAATGCACAATGGTACACTGGATTCAATGACTGTAGACATGTGATGTGCTGAAATACAGCACAAACGCAGCTCTTTTCAAAGAAAACCTGTGCTTTGTGTAGGCCCCATGCCCCCCCAGGAGAACCAGCATGTTTAAGATAAAAATCAAGGTCAGAGCTTTAATGTTAGCATGTTGGATTTAAAAGCTTCCAAAAGCAGGTGTGGTTGTGAAACGCGCACGACTCGATGACAAATGCATCGTGAAGGATCCTCCTCAGGTTCAGCACAGGCTGTTCCAGTTCCAGTCGGTTCTCCAACGTCTGCATAGTTGAAAAGAACGATAAATCAATCCAAAAGAGAGGAAATGCAGAAATATCCCTTGGATTTATGAGTAAAGCCGTGCTGAAACCACCCCCCCCCCCCCCCTCCTTAATAATAATGAAAAAATAACCTTGGTATTTTCTCTCAGTCATGACTCACCCAGCTTCATGCTCCCCATGAATGTCAGGGCAAACATAAAGTTAATGATCATTTTTAACTCCAATTTGTGTTTTACAGCTTCAGAATGTCAAAGTGGCAAATTAGTTAAATGGAGTTTGTTTGTTTTTTTCTAACAAAATGCACTTTAAGCAGTGAAAACTAATTTACCACCGACAGCAACAGGCTGGAATTTTTTTTTTTTTTTTTTAAATGAGCAGGGAAAAGAAACCAAAATCGAACATGGCTGCTTATTTGCGATATGAACTACAAGTTTCCGATAAATTCCTCGATAATACAAAAGGAGTGGTGAACTATCTGGAAATGCAGCACTCATGCTGCTTCAGTAATGAAATGTGTTGTTCTCAGTCCAGCACTTTGGGAAACAAATGCCTTGACTGCAGCGTTTTTACTGCAGCTCTGCTGCCCTCTGCTGGTCACAAGAGGAAGCCTAAATGAACGTGAAGCCCGTCAGCTGCACATGTTCTTTTCTTTGATGGTTGATACTAACTGTTAGAATGATCTATAAATATTGGTCAACAAGAAACCAGTAGCCTCATTACTGCCTGATGCACAAAGGCAAAGATGGAGCGATAAAGTTTTGGCTTATGAGTCTGTGATCAAAATATCTTGTTGGATGAAACTTGCAGAAAATAAACAAACATCAACAACTGATATAACGTTTGGAGTCAACTTGATTCAAGATATGACCAACTGACAAAAAACTGTGCCATCAACTGTGTGAAGTCAACTGTGTCTGTTATCAAAATATCTCAAGAACAACTGAATTAATGTTTATGAAACGTTCAGGAAACAATCACTGGGTGTGTGTTTACAGCTGATTAACTATTGGAGCAAAGCCAATGTAGGAGGGCCACTGCAGATAATCCACATTAAAGAACACAAAATGGTCATAATCCAGTCAATCTGGTAAATAAAATAAAACTGTGCTAAACTTTGTGTGGTTGTAGCTGAGAGTCATTCACAACATATACTCCAAGTGCTACACATTGCATGGGATATTTGCTTGAAACTTGGAGTCAACCCAGTTTTGTCTGTTAGCAAAATACCTCCTGAACCGCTGGAAGAATTTCAATGAAACTTTTGGAAATCACTAACTCAAATTGAAAATGTATCAAAATAGCTACAACTTTATCATTTCACAAAATAAAATGAACCTAGTTTTGAACTCCACTGGGTGGACAATTTTCATTCCTTTAGGACCTCAGTGGTTCCAAACCCTGGTCCCTGAGGAACACCATACTGCATGCTGTAATTGTTTCTCTGCTCCAACACACCTGATTCAGTGATTTAATTACTTCCTCAAGATCTGCAGAAGCCTGTTAATCACCCGTTCATTCAAATCAGGTGATGGAGCAGAGAAGCAACTAAACCATGCAGGATGGCGTTCCGCAAGGACGAGGGTTGGGAACCACTGCGTTTAGTGATGCATTATCTTCACATACTGTTAGTTTTTGTTTATAAAAAGGGTTGAATACTTTTGAACAATCTCTAATACACCAGTAGAGGTTAAAGCTGTGCTGGATTATTTTACAGTTGAAAATAAAAGCTTGTCGTTAAAGGTTCATTGAGGAATGAGTTACGTCCATTTCTGTTGTTATCTGCCATGCTCCCCTCTGAGTCTGTTTTATGTTCTCACTCTGCTTCTATTTACTCTCACTCTTCTGTGTTTGCTGTCATTCCTCTCATCCCCTTAACTCCTATCGTCTTCCCCTTATCTGTCCCTCTCTGTGACCAGATTTCTGTGAGATACCAAGCAGAGGGACCAGTTAACCAGTAACAACCCTGGAACAGGGAGCCTGACTGCTCGGAGGCCATTTTCGTAAAGAGAATTTTTTTTTTTTTTTCACATTTTCACAGCATCACAGTCGAAGCTCACGCTCTCACGAGGTGACGAAGCTCCGGCGATGAAACCAAACTGCTCCGAGCCGAAGCTCTTAGAACTTCTTTCCCTTCTGGAAGCACATTAAGAAATCAGCGCTCGGCTCAGCTCACGTTGAAAAATGATGAAATTTGTCCGTGAAGGTGCTGCAGACACATTCGGGCGTATTAATATTCGCCAGGAGGGCAGAGAGAATGTAAATGACTACTGTTATCCCTGGTTATGAATAGGATTACCACCGGCTCACTGCCTTCAGCTCTGCTGGATGAATTCAGAGGACGTCTCCTTGTTGTTCCTCTGTGAGATGACTCTCCTCGTGGTGGAAACAATCAAATAAATTCATCAGTCGGTGCTTGTTAAAAAAAAAAAACAGACAAAGGAGTCACTTCACTAGAACCTGATTGGAGGAATGCATGAACGCCCACAGCCGTTCATGCAAAAATGTTAAACTTAGCATGATGTTATCTGTGACACTGACCATGTATATGTGTATCTGATTCAGGTGATATTTTGCTAACTAGCAGACAGTGCATGCAAAAGCTTAAGGCAAAAACGTTGTGCAGCGAATAATAGTCGGCGCATGTGTTTGGCACAACTCTCAGCTACTACCACACAAATTTTAGCTCAACATCTGTACAAATGAGTTGTTACCCACATCTTTGTGCATACTAGTTTTGATTAGCTGTGGCAGCCATCTTAAATGAGAGTGAATCCCGATGTTATGAATTGTACGTGTGTATTCACTGAATACTTTCTGAGAGTTTCATAAGAATTTTCCCAGTGTGTCATTAGATATTTTGCTAACAGACAAAACGAGTTAACTGTTACTGTCAGTGTTTTAGGTAAATACATCACGCAAAGTATAAGTTGGGGTAATGCTCAATAAGAGCTCAACATCTGTGGAAGTGGCTGAGTTATATCCATTATTTTGTTTCATAAAGTCAATGGCAGTGGCGGCCATCTTGAATTGGGTTGACTCCAAAATGTTAACAGCTCGAGATTTAGACGCAACGCTTGTTTTCTGAAAGTTTCAATAAAATCTGTCCAGAGTTTCGCGAGATATTTTGCTAACAGACAGTCAGAATGACAAGGTTTTAAAATCAGATCTCGCTTGAGCGCTTAGTGCGTGTGTTGGGCATCAGTCTCGGCCACCACCTCACCAAAGTTGAGCTCAACTTTGTCTCAAAACCATTTTTGTGTTTGATAAAGCTGTGGCGGCCATCTTGAATGGGGTCATCTCCAGAAGTTAATCAGTTGTAGATGCTCATCCAAAGATTACTTTCTGATTGTTTCCTTCAGATTCACTGGCATTTAAGATACTTTGCTATCAGTGAAAAAGGAACACGATCAAACGCACGCGCCTCTCAGCGGCGGGTGATAATGTTTCGGAGAGGTTCAAGTCCCTCATGGGAGCGTATTTGGAGAAGGGTGTGGTCCCTGAACGTCACTCTCATGCAAAGTTGCAGTGGACTTCCCCAAAGTTCACTTTCTGGAGTTGGACCAGCCACAACGGCGGCGCAGCTTTGGCGCAGTATTTTGACGCACAGTGATAGCGGGCTGCTTCTGACTCCGTGAAGCTGTAAATGCATTTAGCGCGTCTGCTGGCTGTAAATTAAAGAGACATGGAGCGGCTGTGGCTCGTTTTTACCCTCATTTTAAACTTTCAGCTCACTTACGGGACCACCTCTGCTCATGGCTTATTCCAGGGGTCTGCACACGCTGGAGCGGCGCACAGATTCAGAAATAGGTGAGCGCGTTTTCTGTTTACTCTTTTTATTTAGAATTGTTGGGGGGGGGGGGGGGTGTTAGGGGCCGTTTTTATAGCCACTGGAGGTAAAAGGCTGTGCGCTTTTGTTGCGCAGCTGCCACTAAAAACGCGACCAGCTCCAAAAGCTCTCAAAGAGCCGCAGTTCGAGGGATTTTAGCCTCTTTTGGCCAAAATGGGGCTCGTTAAGATGCTTTATCAGAGTTGTGGTTATTTTTGGCCACACTTTTTTTTTTTTTTATGTTGACAAAGGTGATAAGATTCAGATAAACCCTGGAATGTCACTGTCGGCTGAAGGCGATCCCTGATCAATTAAAATTACAGGAGTCATGAAAAATCTGAACCTTTAAAGGAACTCTAATCCAATCTAATCTAACATGTGGATTTAAAAAGGGATGAGTGCGTCATGACCCTCAGCTACTACCACATAAACTTTAGAGTAACTTATAAACAGTTTGGTGTTGGATAAGTTCAGTTAACTGTGGCAGCCATCTTGATTTGGGTTGACTCCAGATGTCAATCAGTTGTAGATGTGTCATTGTCATTCTGCAAGTTTGCTTAAAATCCATCCAGTGGTGCATGGGATATTTTGCTAACAGACAAGACTGTGCTGACTGTAACAATTAATGCCACAATTTTAAGCAAAGATGTTGTGCAACATGCAGATTTTATACCATTATCTGAAAAATAGAGCAATATCTTGTCTTGTATTGGCTAATGTTAATTAGCTGTGGCAGCCATCTTGAATTATTAAGGTGACTCTAAAATTTAATGAGTCTGCGCATCCAAGACTTACTTGCTGAGAGTTTAACTGAAACTGCTCCAGACAAATTAATGTTTAAAACTAAAGTTTTATGTCAATAAATCCTGCAATGTGTAGAGCTCAAAGGGATGACTCTCAGCAACTACCACCCAAAATGTGTGTCCAATATGTGTAAAAGTGGCTGAGTCATATCATTTTGTGTTTAAAGTTGCTGCGCTGTGGCGGCCGTCTTGAATGGCATTGACCCCAAAAGTTAATCAGCTGTAAAAGTACAGCCAGTGATTATTTTCTTAAGAGTGTCATCTAGTTTTGTCTGCTGGTTCACGAGATATTTTGCTAACGGTGTGTGCCTCCATCCACAGGAACTGGTGTGCCTATGTGGTGCCGAGGAACGTGAGCTGCGTGGTGCTGGGGAGCGCAGAGAGCTTCCAGGAGCCTGTGGTGGCCCCCTGCCCGGCCTACCAGCCCGACTGCCAGCAACAAATGACGTGAGCAACCATGGGAGCAAAGAGGGGTGGGGTGGGTGGGGGGGTTGATGGTTTACTAGATGAACCAGGAACATTTGGATGCAAAATGTTTCCTTAAGAGAAAGCTGGAGGAAGAATTAAATCCAGAGTGCCTCAAATAAACCCAGTTGGCACAACTAAAAAGCAATGCATCTCCATCAAACTAAAAAATGCACAGAAAAGCACAACGATGATCAGAAAACATTGTTCTGAAACTAATTAACTGTAGATGCACAAATAAACTCTGTCATGGAATAACAAAATGCTGCTGGTTGTGAAGCATTCACTGGTTCTTATTTTGGTATTTTGGTCAGGTTGTGGGGCCGTGGTAGCTCAGTGGTCAGCGCTGTGGCCTCGTAATCCTGAGACTTATAGTTCAAGTCTAGGTTGTGTCAGGAAGGGCATCTGACGTAAAACAATCATTAAATCTTTTGTGCAAGTTCACTCGCTGTGGTGACACGTGCAAAAGTAAGCAGCCGAAAGAAAAGCAACCACATTTTGATCAGCTTGTCACAAATCTGAGAATGAAACCCAGAATTACCGTATTTTCTGGCGTATGAGTCGCTGTTCTTTGCATAGATTTGTGAGTCCTGAGACTTATACGTTGAAGCAACTTATATAAGTTTTTCCATATTCATAACACAATGTTTGACGCTTTAAATTTCTAAGAACTGCAACAGCGAGTCCTCGTGTGCGCACTCGCCTCACTCAACTGGTGCAGGCGGAGGAACGCTGGAGAGCTAGCGGCTCCAGCTGCGATGGATGGATGGATGAAAGAATGGATGGATGGATGGATGTACGAAAGGATGGATGGATGGTGCCACGCCGCCCAGGTGAAATGAAACTGTTTTGACCATTAAATAACGCATAAACACGACCGGTCAGCGGTGAAGTAAAAAAAAGCAACTTATACGTCAAAGTGACTTATGTGTTTTTATCCACTTCATGATGCTTTTTTTGATTGATGAGATTTATAATCCGGAGCGACTTATACGCCGGACAATACGGTAATCACAATAGGATTGTACTTTTGCTACTTTGGCTATGTTGAATTTGATTGTCTATGGAGATGTACATCCAATGATTACGTTCTGAGAGTTTCAATAAAATCCATTCAGTGGCACATGTAATATTTTGCTAACAGTCAAAGAACATCGACTCTAAATAGTGAATAGAAAATTCTTAATTTTGTGCAATCTGATAATGCTAGAATATTTTATTGGTGTTCAGTTTCATCCTCAGTCGCACCAAATTTTAGGTCAATATATGTAGAACTGACTAAGTTAAAGCCTTTTTTATTGTCATTTTGCTGTGGCAGCCATCTTGAATCACATTGGCTCTAAAAGTTAATCAGGTATAGATGTGCATCTCGTGATCACTTTCTGCAAGTTTCATTCAACTTTGTTCAGTGACTCATGAGATATTTTGGTGTTTGACGGACACAGACGTAAGCAACAAAACCATCATCATCTCTATCTTTGCCTTTCAGTCGTAGGTGATTAAAAAAAATAGTTCATCAAGTGCTCAAATTGATAGTTTATACGCCTTTCCTTTTTATTTACCGTTTTCTTAAGCTGCAGACAACCTTGGCTTCACTAATCTATAACTGCTTTTATGCATATCTATTGTTATCAAGTCTTTAGGTTATCATGTACCAGCCAGCGCTTCACATTTGTTTTTATATCATTCAAGATTATTCAGCCCTGACATTTGTACAGTGCAAATCACTCCCTCATTGCAGCTGCATGATATGGAATAACATTTATTTTCCTAATAAATTAAGTTTAATGCAAAAATCAGTGATTTCTTCCAAGTTTAAAAACAGCTTTCATTTCTGTATGAGTTATTATCATGCTATGAAACACATGACTGAGTCATATTTCCAGAATATTCCCTCCCTACATGCTTTCTTAATAATAAATCACTCAAAGGAACACAAATAGAGGCATTTGTACCAGTAAACAAGAGCAACAGTTGTAATGGTGCTGGATTTTTTTTTGTTTTTTTGTGTGTGCAAAATGTTGTGTCACAATATAATGTTTTGCTTTGTGAATCATTTTTAGGTTTAAACGTGTTTTATCTATGGTTTTGATTCATGCTCTGTTCACACAAACAGACGCAGTGAGTCTGCTGTGTGGAAATTATTCCTGGAAGCTGATCAGGGTAAAGTCTTGGGATCATATTAGCATGTTATTGTGCAATGCAAGGAAGAGCAGTAAGAACAAACACCTCACGGAGAAGCTTTAAAATATTTTCTTTGCAGATGATATTTAGGTTTACATTGTTAATTACTGCTGAAATGTTAAGTGTTATAACCTTCAGGTTTTCACTTTTCCATCTTTTCCTAGAACAGTATCAGTAACAGTTTTTTTGGGGAAAAAAAAAAGATAGTTTCAGACATGAGTTTTCCAGATGTTCTTCACGACATGACCCCTACCTTGAGGGAAGTGATATCATCCATTGTTTTTTATGGGAAGGTTTTTGTTTTTTTGCAAGAAAATTCAGATTTTTGTTTATATATAATGGGAACTGGTGGACAAGCAACAGTTTGTAATAAAAACATACAGATTTTTTTCTCTCTTCCTTTTTTGACTTGCATAGTTTTAACCCGGCAATCCATAAATCGCTTTGAGAACGGCTTTGGTTTGATCTTGATGTTATGAAATGCAAAGCTTATTCATTACTCTGCCTTGCATTGCAGATACCACATGCGGTTTCGACCCACATACAAAACTGCTTATAAGACAGTCACAGAGATAGAATGGAAATGCTGTCCTGGTTACAGAGGTCCAGACTGTAAGGATGTAAATCCACCCTTGGATCGACAAACAGGGCTGGGACCTAGGTCTTACCTCCCAGCAAATCCTGGACTCACGTCCAGACACATACAGAGTAAGAAATCAATTTTCTCATCAACCTTGCATGCTTTTTTGTCACTTTAGACTAAGCATTGCATAAAACTCGAACAAAGATGTATTTACTGTTTCTTCCATAAAAAAAACATTTCTACTTCCGATTGTAGGACCAGAGCGGAGGGAGACCGCACACCACGAGACTCAGCATGGTGTCACAGATAAGGTGCGTCTTCTTGAAGGTGAAGTTCAGCGTCTCACTCAGACAGTCCAGGATCTCCAGGCCACTCTAACAGGATTAACTGGTAACCTTCGCACAGACCTGCAGGATGACACCAAAAAGATGCTGGTGACACTCCTAAACAACATGCGGCCTCAGGATAACAGCAGTAATCCAGGCACGGAGGAGAGTCCAGCCATGCTAGATGGTCAAGCTACCAGAGCTGGGATTGCTGGAGAGAAAGCCCTAGAGAAAATAGAAGCTCGTTTAGATGATATCAACAATGCACTGAAAAGCAAGGATGAAGCTTTGGAAGACCTCAAAGGGATCACAACAAGTCACGAAGGACAGATACGTGTCCTGATGGATGCTTCTCAGTCTCAGAACCCAGCCATAGCAGAGTTTGATGCTATACAAGCTTATGTTGATGGACAGTTTGAGAAGCTGAAGAAGGAGCTGGACCAGAATGTGGAGGAGCAAATGGTCAAACTGCAGGGCTTGTGCAATGACAAGATGCAGGTCATGCAGAAGACCTGTGAGGACAGCCACGATAAAGTTCTTTCCAAGGTGACCAACCTTTTAGACACCAAGGAGGCTGAACTGAAAAAAGAGATCCGGACATTGCATCTAGACATGACTGCTGCAGATGGGCCTGTACGAACTCAAAGACAGACAGAGCTACATAACGAGGATAAAGACTACAGTGACCATAAGGACTTATGGCGTGAAATTGACCGCATATCTGAGGCTTACCGAATCCTTAATGTCCGCGTTGACAAGGAACTGGCTCATTTGTCCACATTTCAGGACATTGGTGAGGTTAGTTTTTTGATTCAAGAGTTGGAGGCACGTATAAATATTACAGAGCAGAATGCAGAAACTCATTGTTTCTACATTGAAGAGAAATTGTCCAGGACAATCGCAGAGGAAGTGGCTGTACTTCGACTGCTTCTGGATGAACGCTTGAATATCATTCAGGACCAGTTCACAAACATGATGGTGGAGATGAACAACAGCTCTTCCCCCGGAACTTTTGGTCACTCAATGAGTGTTATTCAGGCGGAAGTCAACAACAACAAGGTAATCATCCAGACTTTGGATGACAAACTTAATGCTATAAAGGAGTCGTGCTCAGGAGAATGTCCAGGCTCTGAAATTCCCGTAGCTGAGGGACTGACGCCCAGTCGTATCGGAAACATTTTGAAGGACCTGAATCGTTATAGAAATGACTTGGACGTTCTTCACACAGATGTCAGCTCCAACACAGACAAAGTCAAACAACTGGAGACCCTCGTTCAAAGGCAGTCATCCGGAAATGAGAGGCGCGTAAAGACAATGGAGGATTTCCAGAAAGGGATGATTAATCTTCAAGATAACGTTCTTGGTTTGGCTGGTGCTGTTAATGGGTTAAGTGACTCCTTGAGCAAATATGACCAGGATATGCACAAAATGAACTCAACATGCTGCCATCCAGAGCAGACGAACCATGGGAGATCAGCGCAGGTCAACGTGGCTGCATCTAACCTGACCAGTCGTCAGATGGATGAGCTGAGGAACAGATTCAATGTGCTCAGTAGACAGGTGTCTTCTGAACTGTATCAATGCAAACGGAGCACACAGGGTGTTTCTGACGAAATCTCGACTGTGGAGGGGCGTGTGAGCAAGCTTGAGAACGTTTACGGAGGGTTAGACGGGGTGTCCGTTAACATGAAAGAGCTGAAAGATCGGCTGGAGAGACACATCGGGGGCCTGAGGGACTACGTCAACAGGATGAATGCTACTTGTGGAAATCATGGCGCAGATATTGTTGTTCTGCAGAATTCAATGAAGAGACTTCAAGATCAGATGTCCGCTTTGGCCAAACATGCATTGAAAGATGTCGCTGCTGAGGGGCCAGGTGAGTTGACAGCACTTTTATCAGTGGAAAGGTTGATCATGAATGTACAAGAATACTTTTGAGGTTTTTCCCTTCCAATTCAAACACAATCTGCATTTATAGGAAAGTTTGTGGCCATGGGAGTTTCTTCAGTTGGTGGATTGCTTTTTTTAATGAAACTATATATTACCTTGCTATTTCGTGTTTCCATTAACACAATCCAAATTCAAAGGAACTACACAAGTTTAACACAGCAGTAAAATGAATAGTTATGCTTGAAATTGAGTAGTTTGTGCATTGAGCAATGCACCTGCATCAAAAGTCATACATTTTTAACAGTGACTTTAAAGCCAGCTGTAACCAAGTGGCAAGACACAACTCAAACGGCTATAATGGTGAACATTTTTGGGAAGTTTTTCTTGGGAGGATTTCAGGGACTTGATGACAGATGGAGCTGTGTAAAGAATGAAAAAAGAGCAAACTCTGGGTACTTTCTAACCTCTGCATACCAGTTAAAGTGGTCTAAGATGAGGGAATTTTACAGGACTATTTTCAGAAAGTAGTGAAAATAATAAGACAAAACACTCGAAACAGTGAGATGGGATGTCTGGTTTTTTTAAACAGCACTTTTGAGGATAAATATATCTTTAAAATAAGGAGGTAAATTATTTCACTGAAGCAAAAACATAAGGCTCACCTTTTAATGTATAGCAAAAATTAAAAGAATCTGTTGGATGTACAGTAAGCTAAAGCTTGCGTTCTTGCTTCGTTAGCGGTTATAGTTTTGATGACGGGGAACGGTGACAGTAATTGGCTAAAAATTAAAACATGTGTTTGTCTCTTAAAGATCTATTTATTATGTAATACACAATAAATACCCTCATTAGTGCAGTCAAGCCAGATATGAGCCAAACAAAAATAGAAATTTACCATCTTTTCCAGCTTCCTCTTTAACTTCCAGCATTTTAAGCTTATTAGGCGTGATTACCATCTGTGTAAACACAAACTTTTCCTGCAGATAATCCTCCGTGTAATGCATTCTGCTTGGTTGGTTTAAAAGCAGCAGGCTTGGAGGAAATGATCAGATCCCTCAGATGGCCACAGGGTATTTCCCATAGCGGGAGGGCACGAGTTCACTTGGCCTCCCGTGCTTGCCTTGAATGTGTCATTGAATACGGCCCAACAGCATGAAGTAGAGGCCCACGCTGGAGACTTCCTGTGACTTTTGCTGGGTTTAATTATCTGGTGTTAATCAAAGAAAAGAGGCAGATACATAAAAACCTACAGCTTTACATCACTTCTCAAATTTGTTATGATTTGCACTATTTTATGCCTCGTTGCTCCCTTCAATATCAGGGTGCCCGAGCGGTCTGCTCCATCGCCCTCAGTCCCTTTATGAAAGTGTTTTGAGGTTCACTGTGACATCGTTTTTCTTTCATACCGCAGAGCTGCAAACCTCAACCGCAGTTCCTGGTCTCTCAGTACACACATTGCACCTCCCTCTCCGCTCTCCTTCTAACACATGCATACATACCACCCTCCAGAGATTCTCGTGGGGTGACCTCAGCCTGATGTGTGGAATCTGGTCCTCATTAAGGGCCCTGACTCAATACTGGAGTCAGTCTTAACAGAGTGAGGAGACACAGGGCTCCACACCCTGGACCAGATGCTTGAACGACCCTCATCTGTGATGTCACGACTGGGGCTCCATCTGCGGTGCCTCCCTTTTCTTGTGCCATTTTCCAACACAGTTGTTTTAGATGGAGCTGAAGAGAAAAGGGGTGGTAGATGGACTAATAGTTGTCCTGTAGAGATAAGAACATAAAGGCATTTTAGATATGGAGGCAGGGTTTTTGCTTATTTCTAATTATTGGGGACTGTCATTACAATGCATAGGAGAGCAGTGCATTGCCTTTTGAATGCACTGCCTCCATACAATGCATGGAAGGCACCTATTATTCTACGTCTAATAAGGGTTTCTTTCTTTCTTTTTCTTTTTTCCGTCTCCGTTAATGCGGTCCGAACAGCAACGTGTACCCCCGCAAAAGTTATATCAAAACGACCTGCTCGGATCTCAAGAAGGGAGCTATTACTTTTATTGGCAATCAGAGTTACCATGGCGACATATTTTGCTAACAAAGACGCCATATTTCCCCATAGGAAATGAATGGGAGAACGCTCCTCACACTAACTGCTGCTGTCAAGTCACATGACTTGGAGTGTAGAGGTCCCTGAAATGTCTAGAACTGCTTAACGTTTGGAGCCATTTTGCTTCAAGATGGCTGCCTTAGCTAAAAGAGAAAAAAATACCATAACTCGGCCGTTTTTACAGCGATTCAGCTGAATTTTGGTATAGTGGTAGCTGAGAGCGAACTCAAACGTATTTTATTGTCAAATCAACAATTTAAATCAGCAGCAGCCTGGCAGTCCTCGTCAAAGTTTCTCCAGGAACTTTCTAGTTTATCTTATAGTGCTTTAATCTCTCCAATGTTCACCTTTTGAACATTTGATACATTGTATCAAAATGATCCACCATTCATGAGCTTTTTAACTGGGATTATCCAGATGAGACGACTGTTTTCTCTTAATTGGATGACTTCACATTCCCACCTCTTGATCCAGTTTTTTTTTTTTACACCTGCCTTTTTAGTGTGATTGAAACTGTTATTACAAAAATCTTGCAACAAGATCACACATTTGAGTTTGGAAATACTATAACCTAGTTTACACTACACCCGTGACCAAACTAAAATTAGCAGAAAATATTTTTAAAATGAAATTAAGCTAGCCTGACTCTGGTAAACCTCCCACTTCTTAAACTCTACAACAAATTATCAGTAGTTTTCTGTCTACTTGTTGCCTGGTAACTGGTTGTAACTATGAAGTCAAGTATTTCTGCACAGAACTGATCTTAACATCCTAATCTGCCACTGCAATGTCATGTTTTTACTCATCTAACAGACCAGACATGTTCAATTGTGATGTTTAAAAGAACTGCTTATCAGGTTTCAGATATTTTTGTACAAAATGTTATTTTCTCCTATTGATTTACAAAATATATTGATAAACTTAAAGGTTTATTATTTAGTTGTTGTCATTTGTGCACATGGAGTCATTCAATGGTTAAATCTGACTTCCATCTCAAGGCCACAGTTCAACCATTAAGGCAACCTCACCCCTAATAATGCACACGTTCAAGGAGTAAATTAAATAATAATTTAACTTAAAATGTTTAACTGAACAGAGAAACAACCCCCAACTGTCCCATCTCCCATCCCCAAATTCATGTTTATTGTCATGGCAACTACATCTATTGGGTTCTGATACCAAAGAGAAAATGTTCCTGGCAGATTTGAAGATTGTGTGAATCTGTTTCCGATTAGCTGCGGCAAGACAAACATTTTACAGCAGTAAAAAAACTAAGTTGTGAAATAAATAGTATAAATAACATCAGAGAAAAAGCACAATGGAGCAAAAAGTAAAAGTAAGTTTACAAAGAAGGACAAATATCCTAAGATGACATTTTATATTAATCCAAGTTATTTGACTTCATGAAATTTCGAACCTCCAGGTTCAGCTCGGTCTCCACCATGTTGCCAACATCATTTTCAAAGCCATCAACAACCTAGCTCCATCTTATATTCAAGAACTTATTGTTCCATATTTTCCTAAAAGAGCACTTCGCTCTCAGACTGCAGGCTTACTTGCGGTTCCTAGAGTTTCCAAAAGCAGAATGGGAGGAAGATCTTTCAGTTATCAGGCTCCTCTCTTGTGGAACCAACTTCCAGTTTCTGTCCATGAGGCTGACACATTGTCCAGTTTTAAGACTGGGTTTAAGACTTTCCTGTTTTGATAAATCCTATAGTTAGGGTTGGCTTGTTATGCTGCTATAGGCGTAGACTTCTAGAGGACAAATTGACCATGTCTTAAAATGAATTGTTACAATTGACTACAACAAAATTCAGTCAGGTCATGTGGACGGTTTCTTATTTTAAGACATTTTGCCCTTCATCCAGAGGACTTCATCAGTCCGAAGAGCCACAACAAACTCAGTCCCACAAGCAGCACACACATAGTGGACCAACCAGTTTGCTGGTGATAAGATGGCCTCTAGGACCCGCCCTCTCCCCCGTCGACTCCTCTGAGGCAGCCATAGCCAAAGTGGTTCAAAACATCAAAGTTCATGCTCAATAATCCAGGTAAAAAATAGTGTCCAGATGACCTGACTGAACTTTGTTGGATTTTTTTTTTTCTGGATTATTGAGCGAACTGTGATGTTACAGTTGAATAGTTTTCATTTGATACTATTTCTATCTTAACATGGGATTCTTGACCTGCCATTGTGTATCTGTTCCTCTCAAACTCAGGCAGTCGAAGCAGATGGCCGCTTGTCCTGAGCCTGGTTCTGCTAAAGGTTTCTTCATCATGAGGGAGTTTTTCCTTTCCACTGTCACTTTCATGTTTGCTCAAGAAGTTCTGTGATGGAGTTAAATTCAAAGCAGTCTGCTCCTCAGATAAATAATGTTAAACTATTATTTTTACATGAGTATTTCTGTTCAGTGCCCTGAGACGACTTCTGTTGTGACTTGGTGCTGTATAAATAAACTGAATTTAATTTTCTTTGATCAAGTCTACTAACATTGTGACTTTCATCTGGATATTTTCTGAGTCGAACAGTGGGACACATCCCGAGGAACAGGAGGGGAGTGGATTGCTGCTCTGCGTATTTGAGTATTTGTCATTGTTTAAAAATCATCCACGGCAAAATATACAGTGAAGGGACTGCTGTAGGAAAATATGTGAATAATCTCTGAAAATAGGTGCTGTGAGTAGTAAAGCTGTCCTGATCATCTTGTCTGGATATGTTGGCAAGCAAGGTGTGTTGTACCAGTCTAAGCCACATTTTGGTTTACAGAACGGTTTTGTACCTGCCATGTAAGGGATTAGAGATTTGTTGAGTCTAACAGTGACTATACTGGATTAAAATGACTGCATTAGCCTGAAAAGTTGTAAGGTTTCAACTTGGTTTGTATCCAAATGAACGGATAACAAATTTAGACTAAGTAATACTGATTTCATTGGCTTAGTTTTGGTAAATCATATCTAATTTTGTAATGGCTGCCAAATTTAGGCACAGATTTCAGTCAGTTTAGCATACTTACCCTAATTAGGATTTACAGTAATTTATGGGCATGGATCTGACTTTTGACAAACTCCAAACCTCTTTCACAAATTTACTGTGGACTGGACTGTCTCGACTGCTGAATTTGTGCCATTATGGGGCTATAGCAATTAGCCAAAACAGTTGGCATAAAATATTTTCTTTAAGAGCAGTTGTCATCACTTTTTTCCCACCCACACAAAACAATGAGCTAAGTTGTGCAGTACTGAGCACAATTTTGTATTCTTTAAGTTTGGACGGAAAAGAGTCGACGCTGAGACAAAACAGCCCCCAGTTCTCCCCGTTTCTGGGGCGTGGTGGACACCGAGAGGCTGCTGAACTGTTTTCTCCCAGAGTTTGAGCTTGTGTTCTCCACACAGTCATATGAAAACCTCGAGGAGTCTGAGAACAGATGAAGTGTTGTAATACATAACTACAAGATTAAGTAGAATAGCCTTGTTCCAAGTCAGTGTGACTTTTGAATGGAGCTATGTGACTTGGGTTGCAACATGTTGGCACCGCTGCACCCAGAGCAGCTGCAGCTGCCGAGGTCTGCCCAGACAACTTGTGCATGTTTGGCTTTTGCTGTTTCTCCTCAGATGGGGGGGAGTTGTGGTTTAACAGTAACACAAATCTGCCTATTTATTTTATAAGTTATGTTGGGTATCTTGTTTTTAGGACTGCAAGCTTGTTCGTAGGGAGAGGCATAAAAAGTGTTTTTGTTTCTTGCAAAGTTTATGCTGCACTCTGTGACTAATCAACCTGTTCATGTTTGGTTCTCAGTTTGGTTTCCACTTTTTGGAGACGATCCCAGTCTAGCGAGTTAAATCAACTCTCTGGTATCCCTTTTTTCTGGTTTATCTCTCCCTCTTTCCATCTGTACAGTTTTTTTTTTCTTTCAAGTCGTCCTTCAAGCGGTGCCAAAGGACTTCTCCTTCTCTCTCTCCATTCTGTGCTGTAAGTGTATATTGACAGAAGAAGCCACCAGAAAAACACAAAAAGCAGCTGTTTTAAAGCAGGGATGAAATGAAGCCTTTGATTTCACGGATCAATGCTTTGCCATTGATCACTCTGGCTTTTTATTGGAGAGACAAGCAAGAAGATTACGTGTCTGCTGGGATGAGGAAGTACAAGAGAAGCAGGACATAAAAGCCTGTTTGAAGTCAAAGGGTGTTTGTTGGGGAAGAATAGAAAATTGCATGTGACACATAGACACTCACATACTGTATACATTTAGGCACTACCAGAATTTTGAGCAGCGCTTTGACAGCGAGCATTTCCCTGGTGAGATATCTAAGGCTGGGCGTTGAGGTGTTTCCATGTCTGACCCGAGAGCCCATCTGGAAGTCTTCAGAGGAGATGCATAAAGAAGACCCAGAGGTCTGCCACACACTGCACAATTAGAGTCTCCCATCATCAATAATATCTCAGGAAAAATGGGGTGGAGGATGAAATTATGTCCATGTGCGTAACAGGAGAAAAATGCACTCCAGACAGCTAGTGATGCATTACTGTACAGCGTGTCTGTAACCACCCTGCACCCCCTGACACCATTTTCCATAGCGTGATTAGCTTGTCTACTGCAATCCTCCATGACGCTTTCACACACTCCTGAACACTCACGAGCTATCACCTAATTCTGGGGAGGCGCAAGTGACGAAACGGTCTCCCTCAGCTGCGGCTCAGAGGCAGGAACATCTGGTTTTGGTGAAGTTTCTCAATGCGCCAGCGTGCGTCTGAATGTGTTTGTGTTTTCCAGCGTTGTGGTTGCTCCCTGAGTGAGACACAAGCTGAGAGCTCATGGGAAATATGCACTCTGGCAACCAGCCTTCTGAAGGAGGCATAGGAAGGAAATGAAGAAGAGATTTCTGATTATCTCAGTGCAACATGATTGCTGAGCTTAATTTGTTTTTGATTATACATGTGGCGTCTGAGTAGTTTGTTATAACGCTTGTGGCAAGAAGGAAGGATTTTCTCGGTGGCTGATGATATTTTATTTGATTAAAAAAAGAGAAACTGGTAGACTGTAATGTAACTGTTGCTCTCAGGTACTTTTGGATTGACCGCAGACTGAATTAGCAATCTAATTAACTGCTGATTTGACATTTATATGAATATTTTTGGTTATGAGAGTCCTTACAGCCTGCAAAAACAATAGTTTCAACTAATCCAAATATTTATTTGTAAAACCCATAAAAACTAATTTAAAGGGATCTTCTGAACATGTTTTTTTAAGTGTTTTCTGCAAATAAATGCATGCAGATTTTCATTATCTCTGAAAAATAAGAAAATGTGCTTTTTTTTTTTTCAGTTCCACTAAAGGCAAGAGCAATGTGGAAATGGAATATAATTTAATTAAACTTCCATCAAACACAAGCATGGCAATTTCTTCAGAACTTTTAGTAAATGATTTTATTCATGTTTGCTAGCTGGGCTGCCTCTTGAGAGCTCATTGTTGCATTTCTTTGTGCATCTCTGCTAACACTTATCTATTATCAGCCATAAGTTATGTTAAAACACAGAAAGATATGTTTTTTTATGGCACCAAATGCACATTTGCTCAAGTTACAGACAAAACAAACGCACTCGTTGAAACTCACAGTCGATTTAAAGCTCATCCGACACCATCTGGTTTGTTACGCAGAACCACCTGGGAGGCCGTTGTAGAATTTGGACGAGGGCTTTCTCTTTCAACAAATGCTCTCTGTCACTGGAAAGCTTTATTTGATTACATCAACATAGTGGATAATGTTGCTTAAACTTAATTTTGAAGAGCAGGTGGAAGAACAGTGTCATCCATTCCTTTTAATGAAGAAATACTTTCAGTATACAGTAATCCATACTGCAAACATCCATGCAAACTCTGTTAAATGCCTCTCCTATTGACTGTTGTCACACCTAAATCCTACCAGTTGGGCACTAATTTGATCCAAAGCAACTAGCAATAGCTACAAGCACATTATGTTGCAAGAAAACAGATGCAATTTGGCTATTTTAAAGCATTCTTTAAATCAAACTTTTATTGGTTAGTGTGATTTTACAGAACGATGATTGACAAAAGGATATGTTAATAATTTAAAACCCAATCGTTAAGTGGAAAGCAGCTTCAACCTGTTCAAATGATCAAATCCAAGGTAGAATTGATCAAGAGCTGTGCAGAGACTGGGCTTACGTTGATTGGACTTGTTCTGATGCATCACAGTCGTTTTTGACTGGACTGAGATGTGATGGATTTGGGGTCAAGGTCAACGATTAGAACTTTTTGTCATTTTCCACAAGTCATTTCCAAGTAGTTTGTACTGTGTGAGAAGACACGTTGACCTGCTGTTAGAGATGTCAGAGAGTCCTCTTGTAATGAGGAGCTGTGAAGGACTGACATGACTTTAGGTTAACCAACAGGCCACCTCGCCGTAAAGATGTCATCACTGGTATTCACTTCATCAATCCGTGCTTGAAAAAAGGCCAAAATATATTTATCAGGCTTTGCCTTCTTTATTCTAAGGACATGTCCTGTTAGTGCATGTAAAATATTGGTAAGTTTAGGCTTTTCTATCATTTTAAATAAAATGATTAGTATATTAAACAATGCGTATATACGCATATTTTCAATATGTGCACCTGTGCACATACACCACAGAAAAGAAAAACGAATCTTCTGATATGAATGCTTTTTTTTAAGTGATGATTTTTTTTTCTAACATTTTGATTTTATAGCAAAAGGGTGGGGGGGGGGGGGGGAATGAATCAGTTTGGAGCTGGTCATTTTAAAACAGTTTGAAACCCCCCCAAAAAAGCCATACTTGCTAAAATGATATTTAAATCTACTCACTAACCATGGGAATAACTGCATTGAAATTATGTATCAGGATTGTTTTTTTAAAGGATAGTTCGTAATAACTGCATTCTAATTTTGTCTGTGTCTTCTAATGCAGGAAGAACATGATAAACATGTACCTCCTAAAGGTCCCCAATGCACATTTGCATGTTAGCATTTAGCTCAAATCTCCACAGTGTTAACGTTTAGCCTCTCCAGGCATTTCCATAAGCTTGTAGACAATCAGAGCTTTTCTGTTTTATGTCAGTAAACATGGCTGACCATCAAATGACCTGCAACAGCCAATCAGATTCATTCAGATGTACAAATGGACCTGTCCAGTCCAGCTAATGTGTTTCTAAAATGAGCATTTAGGAGATTTTACAGAGGGAAAAGAGACCTCTTTAATATTTCCTACCAGTGTAAGTTAAGTGAATTACTTTACACAAAGCATTAGACAATTAATGTATTGTAAATATAGTGAGAGAAAAAAAATTGCCTTAACTGTGAGCAAGTTCTGAGATGGTGTGATAACTTTTGTTTTACCTTAAGACACTCTCAGTGTTTGTGTGCTGTCCTGAAGGGGCTCCCCGGTGACATCCGTCTTCCCCTGGGAACCTGAAAAGCCACCGTGTGGTTTCCATTTTCATGTTGTTCCCTAAAACTCATTGTTGTGACATTCCCGTTTTGTTTTTGTGAAGCGTAATGATGTTCCTGAGCCAGCGTTCATTGGATCTGCCATCTGAAAACAAGTTTATAAATGTACACTCATGAGCCAAACGTTGTCTGTACTGAGTTTAAATCCTACATAATTTAATCTAAAAAGACTTTATTCTAATAGGTCTATTTAAAATCTTGTAAATGTACAAGACTTTAAATTTATATGTCTATTTTCCCTCTGTTTTACTTTCCAAGGACCTGCTCCTTGGCCTGATTCATCTCAGAGCAGACCGCGAGTCAAACAGATTCACATTCCCGTCATCCTCCCTCCACCACCATCCAGTCATAACCAGGCGGCGCAGCCCAACGTCCACACCATCAGGATCGCTTCGCCAAACCAGCCTGCAACCCCTCAGCAGCCCGTAAAACCCGTGATGGAGACGGGAGAGGCCGGACCCCCAGGATACATGCGCAGGCTCACAGTGCGCCGAGGATCCGAGGAGTTACCGAACAAGCCAGTCGAAGAATTAGCTGGAGCGCCGGGTGAGTAGTACAGATCATTAGAGTCACAATTATTAGGCACCTAAATAAAATAAAAAAAAACTAGAGAAATTGCATTTCCCGCCAAAATGCAATGTGAATGTGTATTGCAGAAGAACTTGCTGAAAAGCAGCTGAAATTCACTAAAAACATGCTGAAATGTAGCTGAAATGGAAGAACAAGCCTAAAATAGCAGAAGAAAGAAAGAACACATATTTGCTGAGTTATGTTTAAATAAGCAGAAATGAGCACAAATATGAGCAAATTAGCTAAAAAAAGAAGAAACTAGCAGAAATAGGCTTTAACAAGCTGAAATTAGCAGAAAAAGTTTAATTAGGCTGAAATTAGCAGATATTACCATGAAAAACTTGAATTTATCTGAAATCTGCTGAAATGAGCTAAAACATGTTCAAAGCTGAAAAGGTAAACCACACATAATTTAGCAAAAGAAAGGAGAAAGAACACTTTTGCCCAGTTAGGCTGAAAGAAGCAGAAAGGAACACAAAAAGTGGAAATTATCTTTCAAAAAAAATAAAATAAATGAGCAAAAACAGCTAAGTAGCTAAAAAGGCAGAAAGAAACTGAAATTATTAGAATGAAGTGAAGAGAGCACGTTTTTGCTGAATTAGACTGAAAAAAGTGTAAATGAGTGCAAAACGTGGAATTAGCTGAAAAAGCTAAAGTTAGCATAAAGCAGCTAAATAGTAGCTGAAATATCAGTAAAAGCTTAAACTTGCAAAAATAAGCTGAAAGGAGCATAACAAGATGAAATTTGCAGAAAGAAGTTGGAAGAAGAACAAAATTGTTGTAGTAGCTAAATTAATCTGAAAGGAGCACAAAACAGCTGAAAAGACTACTGAAATTAGCTGAAAATAGCTGAAAAAAGTTTAAATTTGCACAAAGAAGCTGAATCAGAACAAAATGTGAAAGAAGCAGTAAAATGTAGTAAACAGATATAAAGATTTAAAGGAAGTAAAATGAGCTCAAATCATTTTCTATGAGATGAAAATGGCATAAACGGCTAAATGTTTCAAAAAGCTAACGTTGCACCAATACCAAAAGTCATAGCAGGATTGTCCTGAAAGAGCTGAATGTTGAGATATGATTTGTTGAAATAGCTTGAAAACTGCGGGATGAGAAACGCGCCAAAAACGTATGGAAGAAAAATGGATCACAATAGAGTGAATGCTTCATAAACATTCACACAATAATCCATAAAGTCAACATCTTTTGATCAGAGACTTTCAATAGGCCTGGGCTGTCATCCCATCAGTCAGTTCAACTTCCTGTGAAGCTGAAACTAAAGCTGTGCTGACATTAGTGTCAGCGAACTGTAAATCTTACATTCGACAGCCATCTTGGATGCATCTTCTCACACTTGACGCCTTGATAAATAGTAGACAAAGGTTTAAAAGCACCTCTAATTTCTTTGCATGTTGCTTCCAAAGACTCAGACTTTCTTGTCATATTTTAAAGTGGTCTTGTCCAATAATTTTTCAGGCATACACAAATCTTTGAAAGGGTTTTTGTCTGTTTGGTTTGGTTGCTTCTTCCACCTATTTTCAGTCCAGTCATCGCACATGACCATGGCAAAGTAACTCTGGCAAAGGTTTTAAAAAAGTCAAGAAAGTGAGCAAGTGCAGGAGAACAAAAGAAGTGTCAGGAAGGTGTGTTTGTATTTTTGTTTTTAGGAAGGAGAGAAAATATTAATGATTTTAGAGATGTAGTCAACCATACCAAGTTTTCAGTGAGTTGCTAAAATCTATATTTAGGTGTCAGGCTGTGCTATCTTGCGTATTTTTCATCAATTCAATTAAATACATAAGAACATTTTGTTTTTGTGACAGGCTGTTAGTGCCTAAAAATCGAATTTGTTCATAGCTTTGTTGTTGTTGCTAATATCTATCACATGCCAAAATTAATTATGTTGTGGTTAGGAGTATTTTATGCCTGCAGGATTCAAAAATTAAAGTTAAATGACTTGAGAAACAAAACAAAAAAAACATCTATTTGAAAATGATTTTTAAAAAAAACAGAATGGAAAAAGCAGAGCCTAAAGACGATGGATGAAAGAGCTCCAGAACGAGTCGAGAACTGTTGATCGGGACCGTTTTTAAAGAAGTTACAAGAATATCTGGTTCTTGGAAAGCAGAATATGAAAAAGGAACTAATTAATCTAGACTTTTGCGCAGGACTGCACGTTTCAGTTTCAGGTAAAGTTGGAGTTGCTGAAGTTCTGCAACGTTCAACAAAGTTCAGTCAGGTCATCTGGACAGTTTCTTTTTGTTGCTGAGATGTTTCGACCTTCATCCAAAGGACTTCATTAATCTGAGGAGCCAGAAACAAACTGTGTCCCACAAGCAGCACACTCCCATAGTGGACCAACCAATTTGCTAATTTTATTATTAGCATTTGGTCCGCTATGGGAGTGTGCTGCTTGTAGGACACAGTTTGTTTCTGGCTCCTCAGATTGATGAAGTCCTTTGGATAAAGGACGAAACATCTCTCAATTAAAAAGATAAATAAATAAATCATCCAGATGACCTGACTGAACGTTGTTGGATTATTACCTGGATTGTCGAGCATGAACCTTGATGTTCTGCAAAGTTGTGACTCTGGTTGAGTATTTCAGTATTAGTTGTAGTTCGGCAATTCCACGTGTTGATAGCACCCATCTAAAATGGATTTTACTTCTTTTTTATATCTTTATAGTGTCTGTTTAAATACAAAGTATATCATCAAAAAATGCATTACCTTTAAATTCATAGGGTTGGATTTGGAAAAGGTACAGAGGAAAATACAAAGGAAACTAAAACCGTAAAGATGTGTGCCGTGAATTTAAAGGAAAAACAAAATGAAGACAATGAGTTATTGTTGTCATGTCTGCTTGAGACCGGAAACTAGAAAACAAAAACTTAAAGTTTGAATTCTTTCTTAAATTTAAAACAGTCTTATCTATATATATATAAATATATATCTTTTTGACTCGTGAAACTAATGATGGGCTTTATTTGATACATGTGCATTAGCTGTTTCGTTTGATCTGCATTAATTGTTTCTACAGCTCACCCCGGGCCTCTTTTAATGAACGCCATATTCAAAGACGAGGAAAAGAGCAACTGAAAACAGATTTCGACGGCTCTGGATCGAATTAACGAGACGGCAAAGAGGAAGTTTGAACACAATATCAAACAGCAAAACAAAGACTTTGTTTTAGCCCGTTTCTTGTTCGGCCATCGCAAAGTTGAGACTCTGTTAGCTGTTCCTGGTTAGAGTGGGAGATGAAGACAAGTTAATGCTAATTAGTTTTTAAAAAATTAAAAACTTTTATTCAAAGTTCACTCTTTGCTTAAGTTTGCTGGCTTCAGTGTAAAATTCTGGATAATCATGATCAGCAATGAGAGCACATATACAGAAGTCCCTCGCTACGTCGCAGTTCGTTTATCGTGGACTCGCTCTATCGTGGTTTTTCAAAATAAGATTGGACATGACACTCAACTGGCTGATTGATGGACGAGCCGCACGATCGGCATGGAATTTTTATTTTAAATAAGTTACCGTGTTTTTCAGACTATAAGGCACACTTAAAATCCTTTAATTTTCTCAAATATCAACAGTGAGCCTTATAATTCGATGCGCCTTGTGTATTAATTCTGGTTGTGCTTACTGACCTCAAATCGATTTAATGTGGTACACGGCGCTCAAAAATCTCTCAAAATGAACTTGTTCCGCTTAATGTGCCTTATAATCCAGTGCGCCTTATTGTCCGAAAAATATGGTATTTTAAATGATTTAGCGCCTGCTGCAGCTTTGTGCAGCCCACAATGCAGGATAAGTTTCCTCCTGCAGCTGATCAGCTGATCTCCGTGCAGAGCGGAGACGTGGGCGTGGCCAAAAGGCTTGCAGATGGCACAAAACAGACGAGGCAAAGAACTGAAATCAGGACATTATTTGCTCTTTTAGAGCGTTTAGAGTTTAAAAACATTGTACAGAATATTGCAAGAGTGTGAAAACTGGTTTAAAACACACACACACATGTATGTATGTATATATATATATATATATATATATATATATATATATATGTATATATATATATATATACACACACTAAAATAAACTACTACTTGTACTACCATCCCCACTTCACAGTTTTTCACTTATTGCGGGGCTTCAGGGTACGGATCCCCCGTGATAAACGAGGGACTACTCCGTAGCTTCCGTTGTGCAGTTCATGCCATCACTTCAAGGCTCAAATGGAAACTGAAGACTCTGCTTGTAAATTAGTACATCTGAAATAATTTTAGAGTCTGGATGATATTTAGTTTTGTTTTACTTTTTTACCCCCTCTGCTAAGACATTCAGATGGAGAGCTGAACTGCTCCTGGCAGTCGCACGCCGACCTTTCTCTTCTGATGATAAAACAATGCGTTTGTCATCCGTCTCTTCCAGGCTCTTCTGCAGCCTTCTTCTTTCAAACCTCAGCCAGACAACCAAGTACTGTAGCTGTTAACATTACATACTTCTCCAGCCTTTTACAAAATTAAATAAAGGAAAACTGTGAATAATTTGTATTTTTGAAGTGCGAAGGAGTGGGAACAGGATGTGTTTCGTTGAAGTGAGAGTGGGCAGATTGTGGAAGGATTTCGTCTGCAGGCTCTTAGTACCAAGTTCTGCTGGATTGCACAGTTATTTAATTGATGAATAAATCTGATTTGGGCTTTTTATTTGTTGAAACAGAAAGCTACAAAATAGTCTCAGTGAAAATACATGAAATTGTACATACATTTTAAAAATTGTGCAGAAAATATGAATAAGACATTGGATCAAGATGCTTCCTCTGGCTTTCAGCTAACGGTGCATAATGAGTTAACACTTTACTGTTTTTATTTTTTCTGTTCATCTAATAGCTCCAGTAGCAGGAAAGGCGCAATGGAACCAAATGCATCGAGCTTCATCTGACTCCCCAGGTAAGAATTTTTTTTTTGATCCATTGTCAAATGCTGCATGTTTGCAAAAAACATACATTTGATGAGACTGACGTGAACTTTTGTGACTATGTTCACACAAGTCACCGAGCAAATATAAAAATTTACTAGAGAAATTATATTTCCTGTGAAAATGCAGGGTGAATGCTTATTGCAGAAGAACTTGTTGAAAAACAGCTAAAATTAACTAAACATGCTGAAAGCTAAAATGGAAAAACAAGCCTAAATTAGCAGAAGTAAATAGAAAGAACACATATTTGCTACATTAGGTTTAAATACGCAGAAAAGAGCACAAAAATTAAGAAATTAGCAACAAAAAAAAAAGGCAGAAATAATATTCAAATAAAATGCAGAACAAAGCTTAAACAACCAGAAGGAAGTGAAAAAAGCTGAAATGAGCTCAGAAAAATGTGGATTTAGCTGACAAAGCTACAATTAGCTTAAAACAGCTAAATAGTAGCTGAAAGAGCAGAAAGGGTGAAACTGGCAGAATAAAGCAGAAATGAGCATGAACTGAAATTGGCATAAAGAAAATTAGGCTGAAAGTAGCAGAAATTACCATGAAAAACTTGAATTTATCTGAAAACAGCTAAAATTAGCCAAGCTTAAATTAGCATAAGAAAGCAAGAACATGTTTACCCAATTGGGCTGAAAGAAGCAAAAATGAGCAATAAAAGGAAATTATCTGAAAAAAGCTGAAATTAGCAAAAAATTATATTCCATTCAAAGTGGGGATTTATTTGGGCTTTTATTAAGAGTTTATTTTAATATTTCAGGTGTAAATTTGGAACAATATCCTCTTTTCACCCAAAACATCTGGACTGGTCAGAACCGACCATCACAAGCGATGTTCATCTGTGCCTCAAATAAAAATGTGAAATTATTTAACAAAACAAAATGTCCTTGACAAACTTTTGCACAGTAAAGAGCATAAAAAGCACAACATGGATCATCTGTAGGTTGATAAAAATACAGCATATGGGGAGAATTTCTATATTTTATGGCTTTATTTTAGAATATAATGTGGCGGTCATGTTTTAACAGGAACACAAGTTTTAGCAAGAAATAAACATAACGGAAGGATTAAACTAATTGGACATGTGCGTCATTATAACATGCATGTTTTTTGTTTTCCTCATCTAGTTTCTGCAGACAGCAGCATCTCTGCAGATCCCTTCTCCTTCTCTGCTGGCCTCACGCAGCAGCTTCCTTTCTGGAGAGAGTACGGCACCATTCGCTTCAATAAGGTGCTCGTCAACGACGGGGGACACTACAGTCCACACACGGGTAAAAACAGCTTCCACGATTCACACTTGCCTGGACCTTTTCATGTATCTTTATACTTTTACAAAAACAAAACTAGAAAAACATCCAACACTATTTCTATCAGCAGCAGAGCATTGGAGGATAGACGTCTCCATGTTGTCAAATCAATACTGAAAAGCTCCTGCAGAAACCTCGATACACATCCTCTCCCCCAAAACTCTTTTTTTTTCTCTTCTGTTGTAATGTTTGTGCAACCAGTTGTTGCCATACGGATTCATATAGACTCACGCCGAGCGAGTCGTTTGATCGATACAGCCAAGGTGAACAATGTGTTGATTTTTTAAAGTTAGTTTGCTTGTTCAGCAATCTGTTTATTTTATTTTGAAGATAAATAAATAGCTCTTGATAAAGGTAAAAATAGAAAAATGCCAAATGTGGAAAAAAAAAACATTAATAAAAACAAAGGCAAGAGAAGGCAAAGCAATTCAAAAGTAAACAAAAAAAAAAACTAACAAAAAAAGATGAGCACTGTTAAAGAAATAGAAATCAAATTGTTACATTTACAGTGGTTTAATTTTTGCACATATTCATTCTAGTTTCTTTTAGGACTTAAAAAAATAATAATTCCTAGATAATTTCAAAGATGGCAGATCAAAAAATAAATAAATCAGTGGAGATGGTAACGGAGCTTGTAGTGGTGAAAATGGAGAAAATTTCCTCAGCAGTTTGAAGAGATCCAACATGGAGCTGAACAGACAACAGTTGTATAAATGGATGGTAAATGATTGTACAGCACCTTTCTGTCTAACCAAGACACTCAAAGCGCTTTACAACACAACCTGTGCCCTTACAGTGCCTTGTGAAAGTATTCGGCCCCCTTGAACTTTTCAACCTTTTGTCACATTTCAGGCTTCAAACATAAAGAAGTGGAATGAAATTTATTGGATGTGTCAAACCTTTTTTAACAAATAAAAATCTGAAAAGTGGGGCGTGCAATATTATTGGGCCTCTTTACTTTCAGTGCAGCAAACTCACTCCAGAAGTTCAGTGAGGATCTATGAATGATCCAATGTTGTCCCAAATGACTGATGATGATAAATAGAATCCATTTGTGTGTAATCAAGTCTCCGTATAAATGCACCTGCTCTGTGATAGTCTCAGGGTTCTGTTCAAAGCGCAGAGATCATCATGAAGACCAAGGAACACACCAGGCAGGTCCAAGATACTGTTGTGGAGAAGTTTAAAGCCGGATTTGGATAAAAAAAAGATTTCCCAAGCTTTAAACATCCCAAGGAGCACTGTGCAAGCAATCATATTGAAATGGAAGGAGTATCAGACTACTGCAAATCTACCAAGACCCGGCCGTCCCTCTAAACTTTCATCTGGAACAAGGAGAAGACTGATCAGAGATGCAGCCAAGAGGCCCATGATCACTCTGGATGAACTGCAGAGATCTACAGCTGAGGTGGGAGAGTCTGTCCATAGGACAACAATCAGTCGCACACTGCACAAATCTGGCCTTCATGGAAGAGTGGCAAGAAGAAAGACATTTCTCAAAGATATCCATAAAAAGTGTTGTTTAAAGTTTGTCACAAGCACCTGGGAGACACCAAACATGTGGAAGAAGGTGCTCTGGTCAGATGAAAACAAAAGCGAACTGTTTGGCCACAATGCAAAATGATATGTTTGGCGTAAAAGCAACATGGCTCATCGCCCTGAACACACCATCCCCACTGTCAAACATGGTGGTGGCAGCATCATGGTTTGGGCCTGCTTTTCTTCTGCAGGGACAGGGAAGACGGTCAGAATTGATGGGAAGATGGATGGGGCCAAATACAGGACCATTCTGCAAGAAAACCTGTTTGAGTCTGCAAGAGACCTGAGACTGGGACAGAGATTTATCTTCCAACAAGACAATGATCCAAAACATAGTCAAATCTACAATGGACTGGTTCACAAATAAACGTATCCAAGTGTTGGAATGGCCAAGTCAAAGTCCAGACCTGAATCCAATCGAGAATCTGTGGAAAGAGCTGAAGACTGCTGTTCACAAACGCTCTCCATCCAACCTCACTGAGCTCGAGCTGTTTTGCAAAGAAGAATGGGCAAGAAATTCAGTCTCTATGTGTAAAACTGATAGAGACAAACCCCAAGAGACTTGCAGCTGGAACTGCAGCAAAAGGCGGCGCTACAAAGTATTAACGCAAGGGGGCCGAATAATATTGCACGCCCCACTTTTCAGTTTTTTATTTGTTAAAAAAAGTTTTACACATCCAATAAATTTCATTCCACTTCACAATTGTGTCCCACTTGTTGATTCTTCACAAAAAATTTAAATTTTATATCTTTGTTTGAAGCCTGAAATGTGGCAAAAGGTTGAAAAGTTCAAGGGGGTGAATACTTTCACATGGTTCTGTATTTAAACATTCACTGCACTCTACTAGATCTCTACAAAGCTGATCTGAATCTGTAGACTAATCAGCGCTTTGGATCACATTCATACACTGATGGGACACGGAGGCAATGAGGGGTTCAGTGTCTTGCCCAGGGACGCTTCATCACGTGACTGCGGGCGGGATCGAACCCCCAACCCTCCTATTGGAGGACAGCTGCCCCCAAAAGGAACAGCTGTGGATGCGTGGTATGAATGTAGAACGTAAATGTATAGCAGTTGATAACTTTGTTGCATTAAGAAAGTTTTGATTTAACTCTACTGTATATGGCTCTTTGACTAAAACAGGACAGAATTGTTGGGGAAAAAAAAAAGTGTCAGGCAGGTGGTCATAATATTGTGGCTCATCCATACAGATTTATATAAAACTTTGGCTGTTCTTAATTATTTATGATGCAAATCTGAGTGTCAGTAAAGCCAAACTCCAAAGCGAAACACGAGGCCGGGTGTAACAGAGCGGTTCACTGTACGACAGTGAAAATGTCAGTCTGAACAGAACCCATCTGTGCCACAGAACTCTGATTATTTTACTAATCTAAGAACTGATCAAACTTAACTGTCCCATATTTATTTCCCCCTCGTCAACAGGAATCTTTACCGTACCACGCAATGGCCGATATTTGATCGCAGGCCTGCTGACTGCGAAGCAGGGGGACAGAATCGAGGCGGTGCTGTCTGTGTCTAACCGCAGTGTGCACAGGCTCCAGAGCTCAGCCGGCCCGTTGGATCATCAGCAGGGGGCCTCAGCTCATGGCACCTGCAGCTGCGGAGGCACGGCGTCCTTTAGTCTGATTCTTCCGCTGAGGAAAGGAGATCGGGTCAGTCTGGTGAGGACCCGAGGCCAGCTGGCCACAACCACGACCGGGGAAATCCTGTCCATCTTCAACGCCATCTTCCTGTACGAACCGCAGGCCAGGAGCTAGCTGGAGCTCAGCTGAACTTCAGCAGCGAGGACTAAATTGTTGCCAGATTCTTGGACTGAATGTTGCAGAAAACATATTTTTCCACTGATTTGATGTGATTTAGCTATTGAACATGCAACGCCACTCTGAAGATTCTATTACAGGTTCATTTAAAAAGCTATTACGTTGAAGGCGGCTAAATGCGAGAGGCAGGGTTCGTATCTAATATATTTGATCATTACACTGATTTTTTTAAATTTTTTTGTATCTGTTGTAAATGACTGTGTAGAAGTGTTTTTAAATGTGCAATTAAATACAGAAATTGCCATCTGATTTTAGCAGTTTTCCAAAACTTCCATTTTATATTACAATCAACCACTGGTGGACTTTTATACTGGTCAGGAAATAAACTGTGATATACCACTTAAAATGAGTGCATGTTCTCTTGCTGTGCACGCACAGAATGTATAAACCTAGGCCTGTCACAATAACAAATTTTGATGGGCGATTAATTGTCTCAGAAATTATTGCGATAAACAATAATATTGTTTGAAATTTGACAATTAGTAATTCTTGTCAAATTTAAGAAGAAATATTGGTAATTTGTTTTGAGTGTAGTACCTTTTTTTGACTACTGTATGGCAGTATAAGACTGAACTCAAGGATGGATAGTGAGGGAGCAAGCAGCGTGTCTAAGAAAATGGGAGGGAGGCCCCTTGACGTGACATGGGCTGTGCCTCTTTCCTGTTTTCAGTTCTCAAAATGGAAGATACTCTGTGTGATTTGAGCTCGTTAGCATAGCATTTCTCACACAAAGCTTTTAATTAAAAAAAAAAATTAAATCAGTAAACAAGTTCTCAGCTTCTTTTTGCAGAGAAGAACAACATTTTAGACAAAGGCACGGGTGTCGACCATGAATTTTGGAGCTTTGACAAGACGGAGGTTGTCCCCCCAATCCCCCCCCCCCCAACGGTCGGTCTGTTAGCTTCTCAGCTTAGCTGCTTTTAACGATCCAAACACACGATTTTGGATGGTTGAAACTGATTTTAAAGAGGAAAGAGAAAGGGAGGGGTCAGTGAAGAGCACCAGAGTTGAGCCTTTTGTCATCCAGCGTCTTCAGTAGAAAGAGACACGAAGAAACAATAAAGCCTATAAATGAAAATGAGGTTGATATTTTTCATTTATCATGTGATTAATTGATTTATTATCGTCTATATAAACCTACAGGAAAGGATTAATGCAGAAAAAAATAAGATTTTTTTGATTTTTATTAAAGTTGCAAACTTGGCCTGCTTCTGAGACTCGAAGGTTAGCAGGCAGAACCCCCAAATGGGCCATTACATAAAGTGGGTGTGGAGGGAAACTTTTCCTTCTCGCTCCTGAAATTTCAAAGAAAAAAAGAATATCCAAAAGGGATTTAAAACTATTTTCTCAGTTTCTTTCATTGAAACGCAAAAATTAAATTTAAAACTCATTTGAAAATCCCGTTCTCTTAAATATTTGTGATATTTAAGGTGAAACTCCAAACAAGCAGAAGAATTTTCCACTGCAATAACCTCATTAATGCATTGTTCCTTGAAATCAAACACCGGGGTACAAGTTACTCCATGAGCCTGTGGTTACTGTTGAACTTCTTGACTTTGACTTGAACTGAAAAGAGGCAGACACAAATGTATTCAGTTAGAAATTTAATACAAATAAGACCACAAGCCACATTTTGCTAGCTTCATTAGGCCCATTTTCCTTTACATCTCACAATGGAATTTTCTTTTAACATATTCATAACTACATATTTATACAAATCAAACAGCATACATGCAAGGTATTTCTATTTGTCACACACAATCAAATGGCAAGTGTTACATCCAAACAGAACACAATCCCACAATAGATCATATAGTTTTTAAAACGAACAAACAAAAAAGGCAACAAGACAGGAAAATGTGATGATCGGTACATATGCTAGATCATTTTCCACAGCAGTTGAGTGAGAACATACCAAATATTCAAGGGTATATAGAGGATGTAGTGTGAGTTGTTCACACAAGATGCTTTACTTTCATAGAAAGAAGGAAATTTGTTGTTAATTATAAGATTAATCTATCTAACTTCAAAAACTTTGTAGAGAAAAAGCCAAGCAAGCAAAACAAAACATACGTCTTAATCCACAAATTAGCAGAGCAAATGCCTCAACTGGACTGAAAGAACTAAAAGAGATAAACTAGAAGTAGCTGTCATTATACATTGTGCTTTTTTTTGTTCCCATTGACTGGCACTGCTCGCTCGTACTTATTCAGTCTTAAGCACATCTCATCACGTTACACCCGTGTGGGAGATATAATCTATGTTGGTGAATCATTTCCGAAGTCATACATAAATGCCATGGCAGTGCTTCAAAAAGCTTCCTGAACAGAGTCAAGCATTTCCTGTTTATGTCCCAACAAGATCTATTTTCTCTTCCTTTATTTATCCGAGGCACACAATCAGTCTTTGCCTTCTCTCGTGCAAATAAAAATGCACCAACGCACTTACTGAAGCTATGGTGTGGCGATACTACCGTCACATACTCATCTGGACATATTGAAGATAAAACTGATATGACATAAAGGTCAGACTAGAGCTATTCATCCTGCAATAATTGCATACTTTGATAAATTGTCTTCCAAGACTGTCAGTGAAGTGCATGGGGGTGCAAGGTGTGCTCGGCTTTAAGGCTGCGTCTCAGGGTGTGCAGCTTACACAAAGTGCTCCAAACAAGTCTCAGTAAAGCCACTGAGGGGTCAAAAAGAAGAAGAGGTGCAGGAAACCGTCACCCAAACAGCAGCAGTGATTAAGTATGCACACACGCACACATTATATTATTTTTTCAACAGAGGACCTTCCAAATGAAAATCCTTCATTTTAAGCTCATTCCAGATCTGCTTATTTCTGCTGGTACATCTCAAACATCACCTTACACACCTTTTAATACTAAAGTGGTGGATTCTGAGGTCAGGGATTTTGTATGTGCCGTACATTTTAAAAGATTCACTGTCAAACAAAAACGACTTGTAAGTATGATGAAAGGAGGATTGTACAATGCCCTGTGAAGTGCATGTTAATAAGTCCAACCACACAAAATATAAGTATTTCCCATTAGACTGGTGGCAAGTAACTTTTGAAGAGAAGCAAAGGCTTTAAGATAGAAATCATTAGTATTTCAATTATAAATAATGACTGTGTTGTCAACATGTCAAACCATCAGCTAGACAATAAACTAGGAAGCTGCTTCATTTTATCCACAAGTCACAGCTAAGTGTGGATAATCACATTCTGGGCAAATGAATCATCTTAAAAAAAATACAACCAAAAAATAATAATAAAGCAAAACATATGACTCATTGTGTATGCAGTTCAAAACCCATAAGTGAGCCTGTAAAAAATGGTTCCACCATCAAGGATGCCAGCTAGAACTGAACTTCTTGGGCTGCTTTGCTACAGTAGGCTCCTGGAAACAAACAAGTGTGTAAGCTTCATGGCTACTTCCAAGTAATTAAGGGGTGAATACTTCCATTTTTGGCAAACGTACATGTAACTTCACTTCCATCTGATGTCAACTGCCTTCCTCGTTATAATTAACAGCAAGCCATCATGTTTCACTTCTTTGGGGGTGTTTAGGAAATGTGTTAAAGTAAAATACAAGACATCTTCTGCTCAACTCAAAATTTAGCACCTCACAGGGTGCTTCTGTGTCTCCCCTGATGGTTAATACAATCATTCTGCTCAACAGAAACTTGTAGAAAGGAAATGTTCATTTCAATCAAAGTCAGACAGACTAGATCTCTGTACTAAATAGAATGGTCACTGCAGTGGCAACCCAGCATTTGTATTCTGTGTCCATTGTCTCCTAGAGGAACATTCTTTACAGAGTATTTTATTTGTATCATTTAAAGTTTTTGTGTATTTGTAACCCTGTTTCTGTGTCAGACTTACTGCAGAGCTGTGTGTGCCTAAGTGCTATGGGTCCCAGTCCAAATGTGCTCAAGAGATGCATTACAGATTTATACCAGGTTGATTAAACGAACTGAGTCAGAGCAGTTCATCAGGGTTGATCTCTGGTAGCGGCTGTCTCCAGTAACAGAAGGAGCTGTACTCTGGCATCACAAAGGCCTCGTTTTGCTCTTTACTCAACAAAGGAAACACATGCTCCACCAGCTCACTGAGTCTCCCATAACTGTGGACAGAAAGATCGACAAATGACAAACTGTAAACGTTTCTATCACAAAAAAAATAACCAACAGATTGTGCAGAGGGGGTATGAAGTATTAGGAAAGTGGTCTCTCTTCGATATGAAAGACTTTAGGACAATCTTGAAGGTAAAGAGGAACAAGGCTTATGAAACTGATGTGTTAAAAAATGTTTTAAATTAATTTTTACTTTTATGTTTCAAGTCATTTTTAATCATTATGGCTTTACTTTTGTTTTTTTTTTGTTTACATATCCTGACCCACCCGGCTGAAATGTTGAAATGCGCCATGTGGTTGTCGACAAGGGCAACGGCGTGGTGTAGCGTTTTCCCCTTGATTGAACTGTTTAGACCGTTTTAAACTGTTTTTGCCCTTTTTTTGGGGGGGTGGGGGGGGCGCACTCACACAAGGGCTCACACACCCTCCATCACATGCATAAAGCATCCTTACTTGCAAGGTTGATATTGTCATTTGTAATAAACATTCCATAAACTGGGTTATGTCAAAGGTTATGGATGTTTTGTTATTATGGCTGAGAACATTCTTCCTCTCTGCCCTGAGAACAAGCGAACCGATTGTCTCTGAAAACACACTTTTGTCCTGAACTGAAGGGATGCCTGCGGACCGTATTAGTGAAGGCCAAGAGTGCTGTGTGACACTACAGCTGGCTTCAAGGACACCCACTGAACTACAATAAACTTTGCTAAACTGATAATGTTATAAAAGCGAGCAGATAACGAGGCTTGTGGCTTGTTTCTGTGACTGGTCTTCGTGTGTATACATTTATGTATATTTATGTACATGCAACCTGTCCTGAAATCTGACCTTGCAAGTCAAAGTGCCAGATATAAATCTCCACCTGCCGCGTGTGTGCGAGTGTGCATTTGGTTCTTTTGAGTAAACAGCTTTCGTGAGAGAAAATTTCTCCAACCCTAATCCTTGATGCACCCATGGGACCAGGAATAGATTAGAAATGTTAACAGCTGCTGTGACATATTTAAATAAAGACAATCTGGCACGAATCAAACTGAGTGAATAATGCCTGAAATCCTGTCTCAACGAGAAGACACAGTAAAGTGCCATGGTAATGTAGGGGTCTGCAGCTTTGGTCCCTCTGCAGCATCTCTTTCAAGCTTTGACCAAAACCAACATAAAACTAAAATTTATTGGTTGTTATACAAATAACAAATAGTATGGTACTAGTTTTAGCTGTTTTCCTGTCATTTCTTTTGCAAATACTTACTTTAATTTTTTGCTTTAATTCTATACTTATTTTTTCCACAATTAAGAAAAAAAATTACATAGGACTGCATAGTTCATAGTAGTAGTTGTTTTTTTTAAAAAACATTTTCCCCCTCTTCACAAGAATATGGTCTTTTCATTGTAAAAATATCAAATGTTTTAGCTTTATAATACCACTAGTGGCCATAAAAGTCTCCTCCAACAAACTTAAAGTGGCCCATGGGCCACCAGTTGGTAATCACAGTTGTAGCAGGTTGTTGTGGTTATGGACACATTTAATTTAGTGAACGAAGGCGTAAAAATGGCTCTTGAGATCGTAAAGGTTGCAGACCCCTGGTATAGTGCCCTAAAGGCCAAGAACTCAAATAAATACAAAGGACTGAACTGTAGTTCTTGTTGCCTTCAGGGCACCATAGTAGGTGTATGTTAGTAGTGTGATCAGTTTCCAAATTATGTGTAAATTAATTTGAGGCACATTAAAAAAATAATGGAAGTTGGAACAAAATGTTTCACAATAAAAAGAAGTGTCCCAAGCCTATTTAAATAAGGATAGTGTAAATGAGCAAATCCCAAGTCTGATTTGGTTAAGAGCTTTGTAGAGACTGGGCCTACATTGACTGGACTGGTTTCAGTCTGTCACAGTAATGTTTGACTGGACGGCGCTACAATGAATTTGAGGTCAGGGTTAAATTTTTCTTCCATTTTCCACAAGCCACTTCAGAGTAGTTTTTACATAAGAGAAGACAAGCTGACCAGAAGTTAGAGGGTTTAATGTCAGAGTGTGGCTGTGATAAGGAGCTGTGACAAACTGACTTGAATACGTTAACCAATCAAATAGCTTTACGGTAAAGTAAAAGAAACCCAAGCCTCTTTGAATAAGCACAGTGTAATATATAAATATCAACCATTCTAAAAAGTTTACCACAAAAATATAGAATTTTATTCTAAGCTGGCGGTGATGAGATCAATTATAATGCTTAGAAATGTAAAAAAAATAAAAATTATAAATGCAGAAATAAAAATGTGCATTAACGTTTTAACATGTAAATATTTTGTAATGAGAGTATAATTTTTTTAACTGTTACTTACGAGGACTTGTTACCCTTGGTCTGCTCCTGGATCAGCTCACCCTTGGGGTTAACTGTGAAGATCCTACAGAGCGGGACTCCAACCTCCTTATAGGCAAAAGCATCCTAAATGGAGAAAGTAATAAAGTCTTACTGCAGCCACTAAAACTAAAGGGAGTTGTAAACATTAGTGCATATGAACCGTGTTTTCTTTCATGTTAAGTTAAAAATATACAAAATGGTATCTTCTTAGAAACCGTCACAGCGAAAATGTATATTGATGTCTGTGACTCAATGCTTAGCTTTGAACACAAGAGCAAAAATAACACTAACCACAAAAATCCCATTTGTTTTGCACATAAAGCAGTTAATCAGCACATTTCCAAAGTGACTTGTCTAATTTTTCTCATTTTGTTTTCTTTGGCTAGCTATAGACAGCGTTTCAATGGCTGCATCATGTGGGATTGGGTGTTTATACAGCTGAAGATAGGATGCTGTGCCCAAGCTGCACTCCCTTCCACAGATGAAGTCACATGAGCTCACACTTCACCAGTGATCTCAGCTCAGGTTCAGCGCTGTACTGATTTCACATGTGTGTGTCTGCTATTTGATAATCAAAGTGCCATGTTGACATTCCAATACTCTTGAGTGCATTAAAGTCCACAAAACCCACATCACTGACATGTAAAAAACAAACAGTCTGGCAGTCTGACATCTTTAAATGTGCATTAACTCACATTAGTCCTATTCCCAAAGGCGGCGTAGAATGGCTGTTTGTTATGCTGAAACAGGTTCTTGATGTCTGTAAGGCATTGAATCTTGAAGATCTCTGGTTTCTTCTCAATGACCTCCCTGAAATAAACAGGTTTTTTTTTAGACACCAACATTTGCATGACCTGTCTGTGAATCCATTTAAGAATTAGAAGTAACCTTGCTAAACATATATTTACTTTATTCAGTTCAGTCCTTCAGTCTATTTACATTATAGTTAGTTTTCCCATAAACCATCACGTTAAAAATCATCCATGTTGATAAGAATCTAAATAATACAATTGTATAGGTGTTTCTTTTATAAAAAAAATAAACAGAATTATTTTTATCAAGCCAACATGCAACCTGCTGCTGTTGCTATAGTAACCAAAATGTATGGATTTCAAGGCCAAGAAATCACCCCCTCCGCTGTGATGTGCAATTCAAAATACAGCTCTGCACTGTTCAACAAAACTACAGAATGTATTGTTGTTACCTTTGCAGCACCTCTGAAAAAGGCAGCTGTGATTCAGTAATGACTTAAAAATTATTTTTCTTTTGGCTACTTTCATCATTAAGGGTCACTACTGCGAACTAACTCGCATGAAGACCAGGCATTTGTTTTTACACAAGATGTCCTTCCTGATGCAACAACAGAGCAACAAGCTACCACAGCCCTCTGTGTGGAGCAGAGAGCTGCTAACTAGGACACCCAGGAGAGCAGATGGTGGGGGTTAAAGGCCTTACTCAAGGGCCCAGAGTGGGTCAAAATGACTTGTAGTAATAATAATAATAATAATAATAATAATTTCATAAGCAAAGTAGCTTGAACAATAAGTAGTGAAATTGTTTCAACAACATGCCATTTCATTTTGAGGATAATGCTACAGAACTCCATATTAATGCAAACAAGATCAGTAGAAGCACTGGAATAAATCTTTGTGATATGTACTTGGGGAAAAGTTCAATTATTTTAAGAAAAGTCAAGTATGCCTAATGTCAAAATAATCCCCGAGTCAAAAATGACTTGGTACAAACTCAGGAAAAAAAAAGAGTAGGTTGTACAATATTTTGTCATTTAGGGATGAACTCTGAAATAATAAAAATGTTGACAGTAGCACAGTGTACCTGTGGAATGCAGAGAAGAGGCTGCTGGGAGACAACATGAGAGGTCCTCGTGGCAGGATGGTGCCTCCATCATTCACCCACTGCAGGTAACCTCTGGTCATGTCAGCCATGCCGATAGCCCGAGCTGAGCAGTACAAAAACTTGTAGCCATTCCTACCAATGACAGGAGCAGTATGGTTAGTGATTGCTCTGTATTTTTATTTTTCTTGGCTGCTCCCTTCCTCACGGAGCAAACTAACTCACACAATGACTTGGCAATTGTTTTTTACAACGGATGTCATTCCTGATGCACTGTCCCTCCTCTGGACATGTCCAAACCATCTCAGTCTGGCCTCTCTAACGTTATCTCCCAGTTGATCAACCTGTGTTGTACCTCTGATGATCTCATTCCTAATATTATCCATTTTTGTCGATGCTAAAGAGAACCTCAACATCTTCATTTATTCTACTTCCAGTTCTTCCTCCTGTCTTTTTGTCAATGCCACTGTCTCCAGACCATACAACAGAGCTGGTCTCACCACTGCCTTGTAAACTTTTCCTTTGACCTTTGCTGACACCCTTTTGTTGCAAATCACTCCTGAAACTTTTCTCCATCCACTCCATTCGGCCTCCCTCTCATTCACACACACATGTACTCCGTCTTACTACAGCTGACTTTCATTCCTCTTCTTTCAAGTGTATACCTCCACCTCTCTAAGTTCTCTTCCACCTGTTCCCTGTTCTCACCACAGATCACAATGTCATCTGCAAACATCATAGTCCATGGGGATTCCTGCCTGACCTCATCTGTTAGTCGGTCCATCACCAGAGCAAACAAGAAGGGGCTCAGAGTTGATCTTTGATGCAATCCCACCTCCACCTTGAAGTTATCTGTCACTCCTACAGCACATCGCACCACTGTCCTGCTGTCCTTATACATGTCCTGTATCACGTCCTCTGCCACTCCAGATTTCCTCATGCAATACCACACCTCCTCCCTTGGCACCCTGTCGTATGCTTTTTCTAAATCCACAAAGACACAGTGAAGCTCTTTCTGACCTTCTGTACTTCTCCATCAGCATCCTCAAAGCAAGTTTTAGGGGTTAACTAGAGCAGCAAAAACATGTCTAGAAGTTTAAAACTTCTGAAAAAAGCAAGTTCTTGGTGTTTTTTATGTTCTTTTTTTTTAAAGTAATTGAGTCTTGAATTTAATTAAACCTGATGAGTCATCTATTTCAGAACTTCCCACACAAAAAAATAAGGGGGGAAAAAACATCAACTGTACAGAAAGACGCAGACATTTAAAGAGACATTCCTAACCAAAGACCTACCATTTACTCTTTCTATGTGAATAATCTGTGTGCACTTACTCTGCCACAGAGTGGTACAGTTTGGCAATGCCCTGGTGGGTCCAGTCTTTACCCAACTGTGGAAGTATTTGTCCAAACACATCAGACCTAAAACAAACAAAACATTTTTGATACACTGATCAAAATATCTCCATATGTAAGGCACATCACTCAAAAATGTAAAACAACAGATGTAGAGTCAAGAGAGTAAATGTGTAGAAAAATAAATAAAGCAGATTGGTTCAGACTGTTCAGAAGAGGTCAAATAAAAACACCCCAGTGACTTTAACATTTAATCATAAATACAGAACATTACAGACTGTTCTCTGCTAATGAGGATTACATGCCCAAAGGGGGGGACACTGCTTCACCTTCAGCTTATAGTTGTGTGCATTTACACACTAAAATGTAAATGGACTCATTATAGTCCCCAAACTCTTCAACCTCTGGCCTAAAGGGTCACAGAGATAATATACTGTAGCCTGTTTGATGTTAAATAGCACAGAATGGGCAAAACCAAGAAAAAGCGAGACATCCGCTTAGTTTCAAAAGACTAACTAGGTGTCAGATCGTTTAGAAGTTTTACACAAACAGAACTGAACTCTGCTTTTGATAAATGCTTTTGGAATGTGAACTTAAAGGAGTCGACAGTAATTTAACTGAGAAATCTGCAAATGACTTTTAGGAAACTCTTAAAATCATGTTCATATTTTTTCACAAATGCATTTATAGTCCATGTGCATTCTAGATATATTTTAAGTAGTAGGATGTTGTGAGTGTAAAACTAAACTGATTTTGTTTGGGATATTTTGTGGAGTATTTACACCTAGCCATCTTTAAAAAAAAAAATCAGGGAGGACCACGTGTGAATGTTGCAGCAAATCTAGAGAAATTACTGCAGGTGAACAAGTGTGTGCAAGTAGTACAGCTGATGCTTCATGTGTTTTCTACAGATTGGTTATTTGTTTCCCACCTGGTTGTCACCGTTCATGATTATGCTTAGATGTGGTAATGGAAAAACCAACGCACTTTGAATATTTTACCTACTAGCAAGTATGTAATCCCCCTTTTCCTTACTTTTTAATAAAGGTAAACAACTCCAGATTTAACAAAGTATAAAGCCCAAACAAAGAAAATTAAAATGCTAGCAAAGGAATCAAAAATGTTAAGCAGCAGCCAGGTATTACTAATCGAATACATTTCTTAAATTGATCATCAGCTGCAAAGAAAACTATGTTTTTTACAATTTGCTGATTTGGAGCCTCCACATGCGTTTTAACACAATGCACAGGAAGAAAAAAAAACTATCCTAAAAGAAACAACTTTTACATTCCACCAGGGAATTATTTTTATGTTCAAATTTCTACACTGAGAACGCTTTTTCACAAGTGAAAAGCGTTCAGTTGTGTTACCAATTTGTCCAAGAGTGAATGAATCAACAGGTTCTCCCTCAGGTCAGATTGTGTAATGCTCAGAGAAACTTATAATAAAAAAAGAAATGCATCACAGACCACCCAAGATCTTAGTGACTGTAAATATAGAAGAAATACAAAATAAAATAAATAAGCACTGTTTGCCAAGAAAAGAACACATTTTCTCTTTGAATACTTGGAAGCAGATTTTAGTTTTGTGAAATTTACTTCTGAACAAACCTCAAGACCTCTAGCACAAAGTGGGCACATTTGGACACAAGGCAAAGTATGTTTGGTAACAACCAAGGATCAACAACTCATACTAACAAGATCAGTAGAAGAGGGGAGATGTATTTAACAGCTATTAGATCTGAACACCTGATAACCTTTCATTCATTTATTTTTACCCCCTTCTTACTTTGTCGTGGGTACCTGGTAATTACTGAGCTGAATACAATATGATTAGTAGATGTTCTTGGCTGAAACTTGATCATGCAACATAAATATCGGTTGCAAGAACATTCTAAAACTAAGTTTATAAAATGGAAAAGAATTAAAGACAACACTGTCATTATCCATATATCGACCTGCTTGAACCAGCACTTTGGTTGACCTTGCTGCTGTTTTTAAGTGCTTTATAAATAAAGTGGAATGGTATGGTAACCTGCTTGAGATATTTTGACAGGACCTGAAGAATGTTGTGCACAAATCTACACCCAGAATTCTCAACGATCTGATATAAAAGTTTTAAGGAATACACAAAAACATATAGGATGTGGGAGGCTAATAAGAGCCAATTATTTGAAGATACTGACGCTAAAAGTAGTTCTATCAGCAGTTAAATTGTGTAGTTCAGTTGGTTTTTCCACACAATGCTTTTGCATTTTGAATAAGTGGGATCACCTTAAAAAAAGAAGAGCTCACACAATTATATTACATCAGCAATATAAAGCCCTTGTTGGCCACCATGCATTCAAAATACAGTCAAAGATACCAAACTGGAATCAATAACTATATAGAATAGTGTGGCCCAGCTTTTGTGTTGCCATTATGATAGTTGCTTTAATTTCTGCACAAAGATGTGTGTGCAATCAGTTTAATTACAGATATTTAATTAGATCAAGATTTCAAAGCTAAAGTGAAAGAGGCTCCAACAAATATATAAAAAGTTTCTAATAATATACAGTGTTGCGAGCAAGAAACTAAAGAAAAGTGCTAAAAACCAATCTGCATTAATTCATAGAAAAGATATCCAAATTGCAGGGTGCAAGATGTTTAATTTAGATTTTTATTTGAGATACTTCAGAGCAACTGCCCTCCGGAAGCACTTACTTGGTAATGGTGCCATCAATGTCAGAAATGATGACTTTGTCATCCCAGTTCCACAGGTAGATGGTTCCCTCACAGCGGCATGTGCCCTGGTATTGAGTAGTAATGCTAAACGTCACATCGTTTGGTCCTTCCTTCAATTTCAGACTGGCCTGGAAACGCAAAGAAAAACATGAAGACATTTTGTGAAACAAACCATTTTATTCACCACAATAACATTTTGTTACACTGCAATGAACAAATGCAGGTACAGGTCTTTACAGCCCCCTACTGACAGCAAAGGGAGACAAAACAATACATCTTGTATCCAGCCAGCAGATGGCGCTCTAAAAATATCAAATGAACCCTTTGCAATTCTGATAAATCTGTTGAATTAACTAATCAAAGACAATCTAAATAATACACAAGTATAGATGCAATATTTAAAATATACAATTAAAATAGTTTTAGGGTAAAACAAAAACAGAAGAAAGAAAATCCATCAGCAGGGATTCACTTACTATCTGATCAGAGGAAAGACGCAGTGACTTCCTGTATGTATGTGAACTGGAATGGTGCTGACTGTCTCCTTGCTGCAGCCTCTCTTGACAGGATGCAGCTCTGACCTCCTTCGCCTCTTCATCACTGGAAGTATCCCCTGCTTTGGGTCTATAGGGCAGAGAGGCTTTGTGTGTTTATTCTAGAAGGTTGTTCTTGTCATGTGACATGTTAGTGAAAACAGCACATGCTGGTTAAAAGGTTTTACACCAAACTTCAAAATGCATATTTTCCTTCCTTCACATTTTAAAAATTGCTTTGGTTTATTTTCACTCATAAGCTTCTTGCTACACTATAAAACAATTGTTGCCAACTTCTTCCTACAACCAGTAATAGGCTTGGTTTTCAAATGTAACATACGGTAAAGGCAGGTTTTGCTGAGGTATAGATGGTCCTTCGTCTGACTGAGACTGCTCCTTCGTTTCAGGCTTGGTTTCCGACTGGAATGAAAAAAACAAGAAGTTATGTAGTGTAGGTATAAATAAGACTGAAAAGCACCATACAGCACCTTAACATGCAACATAAAATTTTTAAACGGAGCAGATTCTTTGGCCATTAAATTTCCACTTTAACTTCTTATGATCTCATTAGCAAACCTGCTTGACTGTACTGTCTGCCCTTTTTCGCCAGAACCACCAGCGACCCGACTTCTTTGGCATTTTTTCCTTGACCCAGGCCTCTTCTGTCGCCTATTACAGACAGAAAAAGCAAAGAAAAATCTAGATTATTACCAATTTACAATAAACCAAAAAAAAAAAAAAACTGAAAAAAATGAAAATAAATAAATCACCTTCGGTAAATTCTTTTGAAATGCCTGCAGACTTAGTATCAGGGGTGCAGCTAGAGTCCAGTTATAATACCTAAAAAGAAATTAAAATGTTTAACCACTGTAATAACCAAACGTATTTACTTTTTGGTTGTACTTAAAAATAACAAGGTTACAAACCTATTTGCTATTTTTACTACCAGGTTGGGGTTATCAATAATTGCTGGATTTTCAGCAAATTCATGATACGTGATGATATGTTCCATAAATTTTTCTGCAAACACACAAAAAATAGATGTTAAATGCTATCCTACAACTCTAGAGAGGTTGAAAAACATTTAACTTTGTCTGTCCTTGTACAGTTTCAGGCTTACATGATGCATTAAGTATAGTGTATCTAAAACATCAAGAAAGATCAGATCTTTTTGTATTAATAAGCCTTTACCTACAGTAAATGTGCTGCCTTAGGAAGCTAATGCAACCGGACAACTACCGGTATATAGTAATACAACACACTGTCTTTAGTAAAATACACTTTAAGATAAAAGTTTCTATTGTATACCTTTGGATATTTCTGAATTTTCTGTAAGACCTCCACACAGAGAAAGAGTGACATCAGGGAGGTCACTGGCAGAGTCAGAAAGACATTCTGTCCCACTGTCAGCTGCCACACTGCCCACAGACTGAGGGGATTGTGAACCAGAGTGCATCTCCGAGTCCATCCAATGCTTGGTTGTTGCCTCAAACTCACTAACACACACACAAAAAGAAAGAAAAGTGTTCAATAGATCATAACGCGATATAGCATATCCAGTAGGTGAGTGAACAAATTGTGTTCTTTCTGAGTAAGCAAACCTCTTGGGAAAATATCTTGCAGCCACATCAGGTTCAAGTACATTCAGGTCATCAAGGTAGATATCTTCAGGTCCCTGGTGCTGACTCCTTTTAGGGACTCCTGCATTTAAAACAGGAAAGGTTTAATAAGATATGAAACATTTTAATGACAGAACCAAACTAAAAGATAGCTGATATACCTTTCTTCTTAGAAGGTGAATCCGTCAGTTGACTACTTGAAGGCGTGGAGGTTGTTACACTGGATGTAAGGGCATCCAAGGGCTCCGTGGGAGTTACAGGACTCACGGAGGTTAAGGTGCTGACAGATGATAGTGAATTATCAGATGTTACAGTGGTGATGGGAGTGCGTGGCTCAGGTTTGACTATAGTACACACTGAGGGAGTATCATCTTCCTTTTCAGTCTCGTCTTCTGCCTCCATAGCCTCTGAGCTGAGGATAACACGAAAGTGGGTACTCTCAGAAGGGGTGATGGTCACCGTTTTCAGTGGTTCTGGTTTCTCTTTCTTGATGACCTAGCAATTAAACAGGTGTCAGTACCATAACAATTATCCAATGTGGACAGCCCCTTCGAATTTTGCAGAGAAGAAGTGCTTACTCTGGTTGTTTCTGGAAACTCTCCCCAGGTCCACTGCATGTGGGACTCGGCTCTGAGCAAACTCTCTGAAGGACTCATCACAAGTTCTGAATCACTCTTTGGGGAAAAGGTCTGAGACAAGCCATGACTTAAGAAAAAGAGAAACACACAAAAAAAGATCAGCAAGGTAATTTTGTGTGTGTGTTGTTACTACACTCCTGCTGATTGGTCTATATTTGGATCTCTCAAGACATACCTATCACCTAGAGGCCATTCGCCATCAGACAGTGGATAACCTTCAAGGCTAGGTCGGGCCGCAGGTAATTTGGGGTCGATGTCACGTATTGTGGAAATCGAAGGCGACCTAAACCCAGAAAAGAAATAAATGTATAAAATTAAAACATCTTCATAACCAAAAATGGGTTTTACATCAGCATCAAGTATTTAACTTGAAAATACCTTGAGACATGTGCAGCAGCTTCTTCATCAGAGCTCAGGTCCATCTCGAATATCTCATCATTTTGCCCATTGTTAGAGATAGCAGCAGGTGTAGCAGCAACAGAGTTAGCAGAAGTGACTGACATTGGTGGGGTGAGCTCTTCCCTACGGGGGTCTCCTTTGTGCTTCTTTCTTCGTTTTTTCTTTTTTTTTGTAGCTGTATTACTGGGAGCAGGAGGGTCCTCAGGGTCAGCAGGGTCATCATTTGGATCATTTTGCACCCTTTGTTCCATTTCTGAGATCCAAAATAGATGACTCTCAGTGGGAATGGGGGAGGTAACCAGATGGGCAGGGACTATCTGCTAAAGTAAAGCAAGGATATAAATAATAAAGAGTGCTTTAGCAAAAACAAGAAAGAGTTACTGCAGTAACAAATGTATGACACATGGGAAGCTGTCAACATTACTGTGTTTTTATTAAAGTAAAGACATCCTAAGTGGGTCAAACAAAATGTCTAATACGTTTCTTTTAATTTTTTTTTCAAATCCATTCTTAAAGCATTGTTAAAAAATAACAAATGTGCCAGGGAACAACAAATTAGAAATTTGACAACTTAATCAAAACTATTCGAGATGTTTCTCCTTTAAACCATATTCATCATATTTTACCAACAAGCTATTGATAGTAAACCGTTTAATTTTATTTTCAAACTTGTTGGTAGCTTACATTCTCCTCTTCAGCTTCCTGGACGAAAAATGCCTCTCCATTGTCACCGAGCTTCATATGTAGCTCTACAGGCTCTCCGTTCACTTCAATGTCAATCTGGAAAATTCAGCAGAAGATACAGACCTCAGAGCCAACCTGGACACTAAAATTTAACTAAGCTTGCTATATTTTAACATGAATTTGTGAAAATAATAGATGGTCACTCGGTAGACAAGATTAGAGTACATCATCAGCGACCTGAAGGTTGCCAGTTTGAGGCCACATGTTGGCATTTCATCTCCCCTTTATAGTAGAAGTACTACTCAGAGAAGACTTGGTTTAATGCCATGATATAGCCATTGTTGCTGGCATGCCAACATGGTATAATAAACTTGTTATCCTCTTTCAGCTTCTCCTTTCTTCAGGGGTCGCCACAGCGAGCAGACTCACCTGAAGATTTGGCAATTGTTTTATGCCGGATGCCCTTCCTGACAACCACAGGCCACAGAGCTACTGCAGCCCACATGTGTGGAGCAGAGAGCTGCCATCTAGGGCACCCGAGGGTTTTGCTGAAGGTCCCAGAGGGAGGCAAATTAGGGTAGAGGTAGGTGTGGGTGCTTCACTTTTCTCACCCACATTTTAATGCAACTGTCAGGGGGATTCAAACCGGCAACCTGCAAATCACAGGCTCACATTCTCCAAGTTCTGCACCATTCCCATAAATGAACCTTTTTAAAGCAATAAATTAGAATAAATAAAAACTTTTATTTTTAAATACAGAGCAAATCAATGTTTCCTATAAAAAAACTAAGACCTTTGTGATAAAATATTTTTTTTAAATTACTACTATTTTGACAGTAAAAACATTACCTTGCTGTCCATCTCCTCAATGCAATTATTGACAAAAACAAAACTCAAAAGAGCCTGCGTATAATTAGCAAGCAGTAGTTTGATCCATACATAAAATAAAGCATATTAAATGTTTTTGTGTGTCCTTTTTTCATAAGCAGCATGTGCATGTAATCTGAGCCGTCACAGTTCACTTGAGATGTGTTTGCACTTGGAAAAATAAAGTGTAAGTGAGAAGATTATCATTGTGCAGGAAGACCAGATGCCAGTCAAAATCAAAAGAAATATATTTTCTGTCATTTTTCAATAAAATTTACTAACTTTTTTCATGTTTCAGAAAATCATGCGGACAACGGTGTTTGCATAATTGAGCCTTTTATTTATAAATGCCAAACTAGTGCGTTCCCTGTTCAAGGTTTTACGAACCCTAATATGCATTTGAATCTTCCGAGTTTCAGTTTTGTAAATCCTCCCAGTTCACTGAAGCTCACTCAGAAATTCAACACCAGAAGGATAAAAAAAAGGTAATGGCTGGCAGTGACTACAGAGGACTTTGACCCACAAGTGCTTTGCAACCCTACACCACATCACTAATAATCCTCGAGGCTCAATGGGATTTACCTGTATAAATAAAGGTTGATGAATAATCTGAAACCAGTGGCCACCAGAATAATCTGTTCTCTCCTCCTTGCATGTAATTTATGTTGTAATTTTCCACGTGTTGTTCTACTTGGCTCTAGGTACAGTTTCTCTGCAACGTTAAGATGTAATTTCATCCCTTCACAGTGGCTCGGGGGAACTTGTGAGGTGGTAGTGGCTGAGAATTTCAAAATCCTTTTAATAAAGACAGAACAAATGAAGGCCCTCTTCTTCCACTCAGTAAGAGGTCACACTCATGAGTGGCTGAGTTGTGCAGGTTTCACACCAACGGTCCTTTAAAATTAGGACACCAGCTTTGACACTTTTAACCAACAGTGAGGAAAATAAGTATTTGAACACCCTGTGACTTTGCAAGTTCTCACACTTAGAAATCATGGAGGGCTCTGATATTTTCATCTTAGGTGTAAGTCTACTGTGAGAGACATAATCTAAAAATAAAAAAAAATTGAAAAAAATCTGGAAATCACAAATGTATGATTTTTAAATAATTGAGTTGTGTTACTGCTGCAAATGAATATTTGAACACCTGTGAAAATAAATGTTATTTGGTACAGTAGCCTTTGTTTGTAGTTACAGAGGTCAAAGGTTTCCTGTAGTTTTTCACCAGGTCTGCACACACTGCAGCAGAGATTTTGTTCCATTCCTCCACACAGATCTTCTTTAGATCAGCCAGGTTTCTGGGCTGTCGCTGAGAAACACAGAGTTTGAGCTCCCTCCAAAGATTTTCTATAGGGTTTAGGTCTGGAGACTGGTTAGGCCACTCCAGAACCTTGATATGCTTCTTACGGAGCCACTCCTTGGTTCTCCTGGTTGTGTGCTTCGGATCACTGTCATGTTGGAATACCCAGCCACCACCCGTCTTCAATGCTCTAACTGAGGCGAGTGGAATTAAGACCAAAAAGTTCTATTTTGGTCCCATCCGACCACATTTCTCCCGTGACTCCTCTGGATCATCCAAATGGTCATGGGCAAACTTATGACGGGCCTGGACGTGTGCTGATTTAAGCAGGGGAACCTTCCGGGCCATGCATGATTTTAAACTACGACGTCTTAGTGTATTACCCACAGTAACCTTGGAAACAGTGGTGCCAGCTCTCTTCAGGTCATTGACCAGCTCCTCCCGTGTAGTTCTGGGCTGATTCCTCACCTTTCATAGGATCAGTGACACGCCACGAGGTGAGATCTTGCATGGAGCCCCAGTCCAAGGGAGATTGACAGTCATGTTCAGCTTCTTCCATGTTCTAATAATTGCTTCAGCAGTTGATCTCGTTTCACCAAGCTGCTTGGCAATTGCCCCGTAGCTCTTTCCAGCCTTGTGGAGGTCTACAATTTTGTCTCTGGTGTCTTTGGACAGCTCCTTGGTTTTAGTCTTGAAACAAACGATTTTAAATCCGATCTTGAAAAAGCCCAACTTGGACCCCACTGAGCTCTGCAACTACAGGCCAATATCAAAAATACCTTTTCTCACCAAAATTCTGGAGAAGTTAGTGGCTGGGCAGATGACTACTTTCTTGCAAAATAATAATATTCTTGATAAGTTTCAATCTGGTTTCCGCAAGATGCACTCCACTGAAACTGCCTTATTAAAAGTCTCCAATGACATATTGATGGCTGCAGACTCTGGTCAGAGCAGTGCTTTGATTTTATTGGATCTATCATCAGCTTTTGACACAGTCGACCACAAAATAATGATACATCGACTGCAACATGAGATGGGATTTTCTGGAACTGTTCTTAAGTGGTTTTCTTCTTATCTGAGCAACAGAACCTTTTCAATGTTTGTTAATAACATACAGCCTAAGACCACTCCGTTACTGAATGGTGTTCCTCAGGGTTCAGTGTTGGGTCCTATTCTGTTCCTTCTGTACATCACCCCCCTGGGAAAGATTATCAGTAGCTTCAGAAATGTGTCTTACCATCTCTATGCTGATGATATTCAACTGTACTGTTCCTTTTATGACTCAGAATTACATAAGTTAGCTGAATTAGTAAACTGTGTTTCACATATTAAGGCGTGGTTAGCTAACAACTGCCTTCAGTTGAATTCTAACAAGACGGAAACCCTGATCATTGCCCCTGAACAGAAAGTTCCTTGGATTAAACAACACCTCGGTTCTCTGGGCTCCTCTTCTCAGCCGAACCTCAGAAACCTCGGTGTTCTGTTCGACCAGTCCATGTCTTTGGACAAACATTCAAAGCTTCTGGTAAAAAACTGCTTTTATCATCTGAGAAACATTTCTAAACTAAGGGCAATGTTATCCAGATCTGACCTGGAGATGATTATTCATGCTTTTATTTCTTCTCGTTTAGATTATTGTAATTCCCTTTTTACTTGTTTTAACAAAACTGCCGTCGCTCGTCTCCAGTTGGTCCAGAACTCTGCTGCGAGGCTTTTAACAGGAACTAACAGAAGGGCTCACATTACACCAGTTTTATCTTCTCTTCATTGGCTGCCTGTTGAATTTAGAATTAATTTTAAAATCTTAGTTTTGACTTTTAGAGCTTTAAATGGACAGGCCCCCCAATACATTACTGAAATGTTGTTTCCTTATTCTCCAGCCCGCACCCTTCGGTCTTCAGCGCTGAACCTTCTTAAGGTTCCTAAGACCCGGTTTAAAACTCGGGGTGACCTGTCCTTTCAGGCCGTAGCCCCCCGTCTGTGGAATGCCCTGCCCCTGTCTCTCCGTGTGAACGACTCTGTTGATTCTTTTAAAACGCAGCTTAAGACATTTTTATTTCGTCAAGCTTTTAGTTAAATGTTTTACTGTTTTTTCCAGCTGTTTTTACTGTTTTTATTAATGAGTTGTTATTATTTTATTTCATTTTAAGCTTTTATTTTTTATTGTTGTACAGCACTTTGTGATTGTATCTATGATAAGTGCTATATAAATAAAGTTTACTTACTTACTTACTTACTTAGTCATGTTAGTAGTTGGAATTCAGTTGTTCATTTCAGGAACAAACATATTGTTTATGTGAACTAGTAACTTAGCTGAATGTTTATAAATAAAAAGCAGCAGCCCTCGCCGATCTAATAGTTTTTATGGGCACATGTTTAAAACAGCTCTTCTCCCTTTATTCTTAGCCTATCTCCCAGTTTCTTCCTCCTCCCCCACAAATCCAAGTTGTAGCGCCGTTGTCATAGAAACCATTCATTCATTCTTCTCCCCCAACTCATCAGCATTCCAGGTAGGTGTTTATAGAGTGTCAGTGCACCACAAAATGTTAGCTTCTCTGGTTTACAATTTTTTTTTATCATTTTTTAAATAACCAAGATTCTATATAAAGCAGGTTCCTCTTACAAATCTTAAATTAAATTCATACTTTTATCCATAACCATCAGTTTGCTGGTGAAGATTCACCAAATAAGAATAATAATTATCAGTTCTAATTTCTCCTATTGATAAGTTACATTATTCTGCCATCTCTTCCCAACAAATAGGCCAAAGCACTTCAGAAGTAGATTTTCTCTTTACTCAAGTGAGATGTGAGCGCTAAAAATAACATGGCCGCTCCAGAACCATGATTAAATAGACTATCTCTAGGCAAGAATATAAATAGCAACACCTACTATTACTGAAAAAGAAATGGAACATCACACGCCTCCGTTCTGCAAACACTAAAGAGTTTGAGTGAGTCATAGTTCGTGATCTTTCTGATCAGAAATAATTAATTATACAACTGTGAACTACTAATCACAATAAAATTGTGACATCTTATTTTTCTGGACTGAGTGCAAGAAAGAGCAGTTTAATTACAGGTTAGTGTGATGACACCTTAGGGGAGATATTAATTATTGTACATAAAGTGGCTTTTCAGAACAACAAAAAAGGTATAGTTTAGGCTTCTGCATTTGAAGAGCACAAATGTTAATGCAAGTCAAGACTAGGGGCATAAATCACCAGCTTTACCACGATACGATATATTGATTTGTTTGTATGACGATACGATTTTTCTCGATATCTCAAAGTCTGTCAAGATACGATTTCCATTCTATTCACAAGTCTGCCATCGATATATTGCAGTATCAAATGCCCATCTCATTTACATATAAATACATTTACAAAAACAATTCAAATATGATTTAACCATTTATTTCTGTTATTACAGGCACAAGGCATAATTTTTTTCTTAATTAATGAAAAAATAAAAATAAATGACCTGTTCAGTATAGTCTCACATTTCTCATGTTTAAGTGCATTTTTTAAACCAGTTAACTTAAAAGTGTCCTGATTACCTTTCAGTTATAAAGAAACAAAAATGGATATTGAGCATACATAACATGGCTATCAATGTCACGTTTCATCTTCAGGTGAGCGACCAAATTTGTTGTTTCCCCGAGTATTTTAACTCACACTGGCACCTGTTGCATACGGCATGAGTTTTTTCTGTTGAGCCGTCCTTCTGTTGGAATCCAAAATATTTCCACAGTGTTGATTTAAATCCAGCAGGAGAGTGGATTTCATTATCTGCGTTTTCTGACTCGTCTGCCATGTTGCTGAGGCGGCCGCAGAGCGCAGCCGTGCACGGAAATGGTGACACAGACGTGCCTTGGGAATTTCAAAATAAAAGCGCATTTTAAAGATGACGATATGAATCGATATTTTAGTTTTGCCACAATATAATTGAATCATTAATCATTTAATCGATGCATTGATTTAAATCTATGTATTGTTACACCCCTAGTCAAGACTGAAATTTTCCAAGCCAGCTCTATCACTAATTAGAGCTGCAGACTTATTAACAAAATATATATTAGAAATATTCTGATCAACGCATGCATCAGGATATTCTGATCAACATTAGGGTCACATTTGTTTGATCATTTTTTTTTACTGATTTTAGTGGGGGGGGGGGGGGGGGATGGTTCTATTGCGGTGTCATACAAAAATAGGACTGCTCTCACATCCTTGGTGTACTGCCATCTGGTTCAAGTTTTGGCAGAAAAATGTAAAACCTGATCAGTATTTTGACAGATTAGGAAAGAGGATAACATTTTGCAAGTCACAGCTACATCGTATATACACCAAGTAGTAGTAGTAGTAGTAAACAACTGTTCAGATTTTAGTAAGTGGGCATTATTAGCTCATGACCATGTGAAATTATTCCTAATCTCGACAAAAAGGAGCATGTGTCAGTGTCACTTTCCCTGTGTCAACAGCAAATAAAAAGCTTTTGCCTGGAGGCTTTAGATGAAACATTTCTGAACCGTTTCATTCTAAAAGAGCTGATTACAAATGTTATTTTTGTTATTTGCCTGTTTATAATCTTTATGTGGCCTTGTGAAGAACTTGTAACCTGCCCAGTGCGTATCCCACCTCTTGTACAATGTCATCTGGACATGGGCACCAGCGACCCCCTCAACCGAGAAAGGAAGAAGTGGGTAAAATGGGTGGATTATTAAAGTGTTAATTTTTAAATAAAATCTGTATTAAAGAACAAAGAATATTTTTAAATGAACTCTGCCCATGTATTTTTCTTAGTAAAAAAAAAAAACAACTTGTTTTTAACTCGTAATCAAAATAAAAATGAATCGTGATTGATGTATAAGAGCCAAAGATCAAATGTTTTTTTTTAATAGTAATTGTGCACTTTTAAACAACCTCACTAGTACAAAATTAACAGATCTAGAAATAACTGGGTTTTATAGTGTATCAAAAATTAAAATTTATTGCAAGCCTTTAGTTGATCTAATAATAAAAATGATTTTGATGCCAATAAAACCTCATCAAAACATGTTTTATCGTGGAAGTGAACATGTGAAAGTAAATCAAGTTTACGTGACATGATACTGGCCATACAGTTAATTGTATAAAGGCAGACACTTATTAAATGCAATAGGTCTTGTGTCAGTCCTAGTCAAATTTATGTTCGTCAGCCATTTTGCATTTTTCTCAAGATACCTGGCTTTGAAATATACTCCTCCGAAAGGCATTTTGCCAGTTTATCAGTTCACAAACAATTACAAAACAAGACTAAAACTTCAAAACTCAACTTACTACTTTTTCTTTGGAGCGGAGTACACCCAGCTTGCCAAAGCGCACATGAAATGGTGAACATTGATATGTGCCATCTCTCTGGCGGACTACCACAACATCAATACAGCCGGACAAAGTGGCCTGATTGATGCCTTTGTACAGTTCTTTGACGGTTACTAGAACCTGTCCTGCTAGCTGTCCCACGTAGTTCATGGTGTCCGCCTGAAAAAAGAGAAAGGAAAAACGTTTTGTCTGTGAATGTTAAGAAATCTTTTTTTTCCCTCCTTTGCCCATTGCCCTGTTTAGCTTTTTTTATATGCTCTTCAAAACAGTTTGTTTTATTGATCTTGTGCTTTCATTTCTTAGGTCGTCCATTTATCCTACAGTGTATGTTATCTCCAAACTTGGGACTGCTACAGAGCCACTGTGATGCCATCACTGGTCACTATCCCATGAGTGGAATTCAAACAAAAGAGCAAATGTCTGGACCTAAACAATGAAACAACCTAACACAGAGAACCTCTGCTCTGCTCTAATGGAAGCAGCTGACTTTCTGTTTACATCATCAACTCTCAGCTAACTACATCAAACTTCAGCCATACCTGCTTTGCAAAAAAAAAAAAAGGCAATGAGCATTAAACATTTTCACAATATTAAACCTTTGGAAGGAATATTTTGTTAGGCTGTAAATTCCCTTTTCTGCGAGGCTAATAAGTTAGAGACGACTGTACAAAAATTATACAAGCTGTATTGCTTTCTGGCGACCTCTATAACAAAGCTTGCTGTGGGTAACCATTAACTTCACAAACATGGTTTTAGTTTGTTGGGGTCAGGGTCTAAATTTTAATGGGGTCAGTAAACACATTCCCCTGTTGACTTCATCACGCTTAAACAACTTGAAATGCTCCTATCTCTCAATGACTGTGCTGACATGAGAGCACTAAAAGAGAATTCAGAGGGATGGACTGTAGGTCCAGAGAATATTTTTTCAAGGGTGGCACTATCAAAAATGAAATATTCCCACAATGCAAGTTGATGAGCAGATGAAATATGTACTCATATTTACATGAAATAAGGAATGTTTTACTCTAAAATATTTTAACTGCAACCAGACATGTACAAACCCAGTCTGAACTTACAAAAAACATTTTAATATCTTAAATTTCCATACATGTGTAAAATGGGGACAACATGGTGGCGCAGTTGGTAGAGCTGCCGCCTCTTAGCCAGAAGGTCACTGGATCGAATCCTGGCTGGGGACCTTTCTGGGTGGAGTTTGCATGTTCTCTCTGTGCATGCATTTCTCCAGGTACTCCGGTTTCCTCCCACAGACCCCGGACAGAGGAAAAGATTGCCAAAATCTGACTTTGTAAGTATTTTAAGACACCTGTACATAATCTTTTTCATCTAAGCTCATAGCTGAGGGGTAGCCAAATGTGTTTTATTATACAGTACAGTGGTGCTTGAAAGTTTGTATATATATTTCTGCATAAATATGACTTAAAACAGCAGATTGCCACACAAGTCTTAAAAGTAGATAAAGAGAACCCTGTTAAACAAAGACAAAAATATTATACTTGGTCATTTATTTATTGAGGAAAATTATCTGATATTACATATATTTGTAAGTGGCAAAAGTATGTGAATTTTTGCTTTCAATGTCTCTTCTCTTCCTGCAACGTTTCCAGTAACTGTTGATTAGTCCTGCACTCCAACTTGGAGGAATTTTATCCCATTCCTCTGTGCAGAACAACTTCAGCTCTGAGATGTTTGTGGGTTTCCTCACATTAACTGCTCGTTTCAGGTCCTTCTAAAACATCTGGATTGGATTAAGTAACCATTCTTTGGTAGAACAACTTGTGTGCTTAGAGTCATTGTCTTGCTGCATGACCCACCTTCTCGAATCTTGAGATTCAGTTCATGGACAGATGGTTTGACATTTTCCTTTAGAATTCTGATATAATTCAGAATTTAGTTCCAACAGTGATGGCAAACCATCAGGGTCCAGATGCAGCAAAACAGGCCCAAACCATAATACTACCGCCACATTTCACAGATGTGACAAGGTTATGCAGGAATGCTGTTTTCTTTTCACCAAACACAACACTTTTCACTGAAACCAAAAACTTAAATTTAGTCTCATCCGTCAGCAAAACATTCTTCCAACAGCCTTCTGGCTTGTCCATGTGATCTTTAGCAAACTGCAGATGAGCAGCCATGTTCTTTTTGGAGAGGAGTGGCTTTCTCCTTGCGATCCTGCCATGCACACCAATGCTGTTCAGTGTTCTCCTGATGGTGGACTCATAAACATTAACAACCGTCAATGTGTGAGAGGCCTTCAGTTGCTTAGAAGTTACCCTGGGGGTCCTTTGTGACCTTGCCGACTATTCCACGCCTTACTCTTGGAGTGGTCTTGTTGGTCCACCACTCCTGGGGAGGGAAACAATGGTCTTGAATTTCCTCCATTTGTACAGTCTGTCTGACTGTGGATTGGTGGAGTCCAAACTCTTTAGAGATGGTTTTGTAAGCTTTTCCAGCCTGATAAGCATCAATTTTTTTTTTGAGGTCCTCAAAAATCTCCTTTGTTTGTGCCATGATACACTTCAACAAACATGTTGTGAAGAGCAGACTTTGATAGATCCCTGTTCTTTAAATCAAACAGGATGCCCACTGGCACATGATCATCGTCCCATTGATTGAAAAACACCTGACTCTAATTTCACCATCAAATTAACTGCAAATCCTACAGTCACATACTTTTGCTATTCACAAATAAATGACCATGTATAATGTTTTTATCTCGTTTCTTTAACTGGGTTCTCTATCTACTTTTAGGACTTGTGTGAAAGTCTGATGATGTTTTAGGTCCTATTTATGCAGAAATATAGAAAATTCTAAAGGGTTCACAAACTTTCAAGCACCATTGTAAATAGTAGTTTTAAAAGGTTGATACCCAAGTGAGTGACACGACATGTACTGCAAGTTATCGAGTATGTATGCCTGTAGGATTGCCACTTGTTTTTCTCATCCATTCTTGCTTTTACCTCAAGTACATTCAACTACATGCAATATCATCAAAGAATTTTGAAACAGCCTCATCCATCATTGATGTGCTTGGGGGAAAATACATTTTTGTCTTACTCTTAGTAGATGGCATGTCCCCACATCATCGCCCACAGCATTCTAGATATATACGGTACTACCTTTCACTTCCTCAATCTTTTTTTTTTATGATGAGCACGCACACTAATGCAGATAACAAAAATGTGCGAAGAATGTTCAGAAAAATTTCAGAACAAATTGTCTGCTGTAACTTCTGAACACAATTGATTTTCAGGTGTGGAAATAAGTTCAGCTTCTTACCTCATGACATTCTGAGATTAGAGGGACTAAGAATTGTCAATATTCTGATTTGACAAGGACATCAGAGCTAAAACATGTTTTTGAGTCTCTCTCTGACACACACACGCACGTACGTCGTCATCAAAATAAACCAGTGCACTGATGAAAAAGGTTACTGTATCAGAAACTGACAACTGTTTTGACGTTACACAAGCAATACAACAAGCTGCACATCAGTTTCATTTTGACACACGGGTCAAAGTAATTTTACAGTTGGAAAACAGTTTCCCTTAACTTAAACATAGGTTCAAAAATCAAGCCATTTAAGGTAAAAAATAATATTTCACATATAATTCCTTACAAAGTAATGAGGAACCTGTTATCTCAAAGGTTTACACAGACATGAAAAATGTGCTTCACCTGTTTCCATCACATGACACCTCACCCAAAAAATATTAATTAAGGCTTTAAAACAGGCACCACCAAAGCTCTAGGTTTTGCAACACTACGTTAAGAAACTTGGCAAACTCAACAATATTTGGACCTCCAGCATTTTACCTTAAAATGTGAGCAGTTAAAAAAAAAAAATGTTATTTCTGACTCACCAAGGACCAAGATGACCTCAAAGAGGAGGACTCATCCTGTTCACTGTTGTCTGTGTTGTCCTCTGTGTTGCTTCCCAGAAGCTCCCTGTTCCATGATCTCTGTCTCTTCATCACAGTAAGTGGAACATCAGGCCTTTACCCACCTTTGGATACTCTACGGGGCCTGACAAGTTCTGCCCTTGAATTTTGACTATGATGTCTCCCTGCCATCCTGAATCTTAATTCAAACACAAGCTCCACTAATCACGTTGGAATAACCATCCCAGAGGTAAATACAGATACGCTATCGGGAACAAATGACGATTGGTCAATACTGCCATAAACTTTGCCATCTTTCTGAGTATTTTTTTTTATTCTGAATGCGTACTTCTGCTCGTCCAATTAGCTGACGGGGCACAAAGATGTCAGCCAATGGGACAACATATTCACGATGGCAGCGCATGGCTGATAAGAAAAAGCTATTTCCTCTGAAACGCTTTGCAATGTTTTCCCCTGATAAGACTAAAAGCTGGCCAGAGGGGAGAGACATAAAACAAGTACCGGTAGTCCTCTCTTCCATGTGGTGTTCTTGTACTGTAAGTCACATGTACATTACAATCTTTACTGTGCATGCGTGTTATTGTGCACGACTTAACACAGAGAGGAGAGGAGGAGATAGGAGGTTAATGACACTGGGCTGCTGAAATCAACCTGAGGGTGCTGGACTCGTTTTCAGTTACTGATTATTGAACTCCCTGACATTCTGAGCATGAGATTACAAACCAGGTAGAAAACTGTAAATACCAGAAGCCTAATCACCATCAGGATTACTGTACATTTAATGTCAGTGCATGCCTAAATACATCCCAAATCCCTAGTAGATAAATTGTCTACTTATGAGACAGCAAATCAAAGTAGTATTGACAAAACATGCTTATATTGTTTAAAAGTTAGCCCTAAACTGCCCATTAGTATTCGCCTGACTGCTTTGTATCCTTAGTGATGGCCTCAGATTAAAAAAAATAAAACAAGAAACTCTTCCACAAAGGGCCTTAGTCCGGCTGTCCCATCTGCTCAGTCTTTTGTAAACATCACCAAAGAAAAACACAGAGTTGGGAACTGTGGGTTTGTTTTTCTTCCAGTGCTGAGGCCAGTTCTGACTGCTACAAGAGTCATATTAAACAGGTGAAATCTTTCCATACAGAAAATAAAATATCAGGGGAAAGAACAATTACAGCACCTAAAAGTATACACAATTATAAAATGAACAACTGAAACATCAACCAACAAGATCCTTTCACTACAAACTTAGGCAGTAAAATGAGAGAGAGCATGCATGTGTCATGATATACTTTTCATTTGACATAACTATAGTTTTTATTTGGAGTAATCCAAAGCACAACTGCATTGGCTTGATGACAAAAAGAATCAGTACTGTGACCGAGCTGGAAAAGCAAGACAACACAAGGTTCATGTTACACTACTCCAAGCAGGAGGCTGAACAAAACTGCAAGAAAATCACTCATCTCATTATGTGGGAAACAAACTTTGGCAAACTTGGGAAGGCTCTGTTGATTTGAATTTTTTCCACATTTGTGGGGCTACAAAACCCTCATTATTCATCAAAATGACAATATTTCCCCCCCAACTGTGTACAAAAAAATGCCTGGCTGCTGGGACTATAATGATTCACAAAGCAGAAATGGTCAAAGTCCAAATGTTTATTCTGGCGCATGAACAATTCTGGCCTCATCTGAGAGAAAAAGAGTTTTAGTCTCTTAGAGAGATATTTAACCCCTTTTTAAATTTATGTTCAACTCACTGTCTCAACCATGAGTCTTTTAGCCAAGAGACACAAATATAAAAGTTACTTTAGTGTATAGCTTTAAATTCAACTCTTGCCCAACTCCTCAGGAAGCTTGAGTGGCAGAAGTGACCAACAGCAGCAGCACAGGTTGCACAATGCCTTGTCATTTCATTTTTTAAGTTTCACACATTCATATGCTTCTGCAAAACTTCTGGCACACTGAAGATTCTTGTGGATCAGGTGTTAAAGCAAGTAACTATAAAATATGCAAGAAAGTGTGCCCCGAGGACCAGGATTGAGAAACAGATGGAAATATACCTGGCAAACACAGGTACAGCTTATCAAACTTTATCAAGGGTCTGCCAGCAGTAAAGATTCGAGTACACGGATTGTGACGATTAAGAAAACACAGAAATTATAAAAAAAATATTTAGTTCTGTATTTTTTGGGGGAGTGGGGGTTCCTAACTCACTGAGAAATGTGATTATTATCAGCTTAATACGGTATTGGATTCAAGGCAGCTTTTAATAAAGAATAAATATGTCCATAATTAACCGAAACATCAAAGGAATTCAGTGGTAAATCATTGCATTAACTCTATTTTAATAATTAATGACCTAGCACTTCTTGAAGGAATGCATATCGCTAGCTGCCTTTCATGTCAAAATTTAAACTGAGAGACCATTTTATGTTGAAAGATGACGGAGTTAAAACTGATTGGGTCAAACCTTGTAAATGACGTTAATGCACGCTTGTGCAAAATTATGAGCTCTTGTGTGGTCTGTTAGCAACATATGGCCATTTCTGTGTTGACTAATGTCCATCAGCTGTGGAGACCATGCTGAACTGGGTTGGCCCCAAAGTTAATCACTTGTATAGATACAACTATATACAATATTACTGAGTAGTTGTATTTTTTTGTAATCAAATGGTTCACAAGATATTTTGTTAAGAGAAACTCCCTGCTACTACAACCAGTTTTGGTTAAAAAATTGTAAAAATGACAGAATTAAAGTAATGTTGGCTAATGTTGATTAGCCATGGCAGCCATATTCAATTAGCTTGACTGCAAAACCAATTACTTTCTGCATTTTCATTAAAATATGTCCAGTGGTTCATGGACAGGCAGGGTTGATACAAACACTTAATTCCAAAGTTTTAAGCAAAAATACTGCAATGAGCAATTAAAACAGTACATTTAGAAGCTTAATTTAAGGCGCTAATGCACTTCACAGGTACATGCAAAAATCAGCTTTAAAATTGCCTTTAAATGACTGGAAACCCTGGATTTCAAACTTCGAATACACAACAATTCAGTTCAAACAAAAGTCGTTTTCTATTATTAACCAAGACAACTGTATCACTTACAGGCTGGGTGGTGTGAAGTCTGCTCTTCGGGACAGTCTTGCTAGTTCTAACAATAAATTAAGCTCTTTGGGCAAAAACATAAAAGTTTGAGACATCACACGAGAGTAAAATCACTTCGTGAATGTAACGTCACCAGCTCAGCTCTCATGGCGGAAATATTAAAAAGAGAAAATGAAAACGAAATGACTGTGTAGATCAGCTGAACACACTCAAGTCTTGATAATTAAATGGAAAATCCCAGACAGATGAAAGGGGCTCGGCTAGCTCTGTCAGCTAGCTCGGTTAGACTGACGGTACCGATAACCGCCAAACGATGAAACGTCAACGAGCAAGACAGCCATTAAGCCATTCATACATGTCCATTCAAAAAATGCGACGGAGAAGTTTCCTATCCGATATATCTTCGCTCCTCAGCTAGCTAACCCCACTGAAGCTAAAATGCTAGCCAGCTTACATGCTAGCTAACATTAGCCGATGGTAAATCCAGAGACACGATTAAAGGCAGATGCGGACGGATTAAACAAGTTGAAAACATCTTTTCAATACCTCCTTTACCTTTCGGTTACTTCAGTGGAAAGCTGCCTAATGAAGTAGGGTGAACGGTCTTCAGCGAGTCCCCATAATCTAGTCTGTGAAACTCCTCTGAAGCCTCCTGACGTGTCCCTGCCTGGACCACCGTGACCGACTGGTGTTGTAGCTCGGCTGCCTGGCTGCAGAAGAAGCTGATGGGACGGAGAGCCGCACAGTGGCGGAGCACCCACACAGCTGCCTGGGTGGCCTAATGTCCCTGCAGTAAATTAATTCTTCACACAGTCTAAAATATCTGTATAAACAATTCAGGTGAAATACGATATAGAAATGCTACGTTACATTTCACGTGACTGCGTTCCTAACAGTCAAGTCTAGAGTGGTCACGTGACCTACTCCTCACAAATATGTCCGCCACCAGAAAATTTCAAACTTTTACCAATATTTTTAATTTCTCTGTAGCATTTTCTAAATCTTTGCGCTTCTTTTAGGTCAGAATGTGACTTTCCCTATTTTCCTGATAATTATATCATGGATATGCATCACTTTGTTACTCTTCTCTACATGTTAATTGTTGTTCAGCATATATTTTTTTATGACTTCTTATGCCATTCTGTGCTTAAAACTCATTATTTCACTATTTTGTTGACAGTTTTTAATTGTATCTTGATTTTATTAGGGTATTTTTTTTTTCAGTTTGCTTTGTGCTTCATATATTTATAGCTCCAAGTGGGGCTGTTCATTTAATTTAGGTGACATTTAATTTGTTTTGCAGCTTTATGAAACCAGTGTGATTTATTGTGGTCACCCTGGTCATCTTTATTTTGACCATGTTGTCATTGTACTTTATTTTATTTTTCTCCATCAATATTTTATTTTGGTTGGTTGTGCATCTTTTTGAAATATGCTGCATGGCATATTTCTGGGATAAATAAATTGCTTGGGTGACACATTAAAAAGTAGAAAAGCATCAAAACACCCATTTTTTACATTTTTATTCCAATATAACTTCCTTACCTTATTCTTAAAATGTCTTAATTTAGACAAAATAATAAAATAAATAAACACAAAAATTCTGGCACAATATAAAATAAATTCTAACTGAAAAAAACAGATTTGATCATTAAGTTTGTGTTTCCATTTTGAGCATCAAATGAATGGACCCAGAAATAAAGAGGACACCATTTGTCCTCCAACATTTCAATTTTAGACCAAAGCAAGTTTTCTGGTAATGACAATAGGACATTACTTTGAAAAGCTCTCCAAACCACCTGCAGCTAAGGGGAACCTTACAACCAAACAGGATGTTTAACTTGCTTTTACCTAGCCAGAAAATAAATGCTACAGGGCAAACGCTTTCCATTTATTGTACCTGAAATTCTACATTCCCCACTCTTTCGATGCAGCTTTTTGACAATGCATCATGGCGCATGTTCAAAAGAAAGCTTTAGAAAATTCATTTCATACCTTCATTTTTCACACAGCTATTGTATGTACAGTATATATGTACTGGGAGCCATGTCTGAGAGCGCTTATATAAGTTGTCACAGTACTGCTTTACACATTATACTGTTTATTACCTAATCGACAAAGTGCTGGAAAGACTTACAGCTTACAAACTGTATATCTAGACATTTGAAAAATAGAAAGTTGATCAGTTGAACCTGGTAAATACCCAGCTTGTTTCTCAAAAAATCAAGATGCATTTTTAATTATATCGTTTATTCACTGACTGTAAGAATCCTGACTCCAAAGGTCAAAGGTTAGCTAAATGTAATACTTTATTATGATAAGAAGACAGCATTTGTTGGCCTTTGAGCTGTTTTCAAAGAAAAGATTAGTATTCAACTCACGTACATGAACTGATAAGGCTACAAGAGCCTGAACGCATGCCAAACTACAAGAAGCACAAAGGTATTTGTTCAGTATCTAATTATGTTCTTGGTATTAACAATGTTAAAAGCTCTTTATCACAGCGTATGAAAGAAGCAGGAGAATGCTGCTGTATTTAAGGTTTATTTAACTTCTTTATTGCAGGATAAAACTGGAGACAATCCCCACTTTTTTAAACTAAACTGTTGTCATCCTTTAGTCTTTCTTCTCTTTGCTTTCCTCTTCTTCAGGGTTGTACACACTAACAGTGAACTCTCCAGCCTCCGTGCCGTACTTGTTCTTCACCACCAGAGCGTATTTGCCAGAGTCGGCCGTGGTGACGGCAGCGATCGTGATGCTGGCGAACTTGCCGTGCTCGAACTTGAGTTTGTAGTGTTCGTCGGATGACAGCTCCTTCTCGTTCTTCGTCCAGCTCACCTCGGGTAAAGGATCACCCCACACGTTGCCAGTCAGGTTCAGGGACTGAGGACATGGAAAAGAAGGTTTTAAGGGGATGGATGTGTGTAACACAAATGCTGATTTCACAAATGATGGCATCAGACTTCTCAGGGGTTCCCAACCCTGGTCCTTGAGGAACACCATCCCGCATGTTTTAGTTGTTCCTCTGCTCCAACACACCTGATTTTAATTATGGATGATTAACAGGCTTCTGCAGAACATGACAAAATAATTAAATTTCTGAATGAGGTGTGTTGGAGCAGGGAAACAACTTAAACTTGTGGGATGGTGTTCCTCAAGGACCAGGGTTGGGAACCACTGAGTTAAAGGAATGATACGATGGCAAACATAGGTTAAGAGATTGACACAATGTACTAGCAGAGAGTAAAAATTTGATTTACCTTGCCCTCTTGGATTGCAACCACATCTGGCAAGCCTCCAACAACACGAGCCCGGTCTAAACAAGAAATACGGGAGTGAGCCAAGAACACGAGCATTCGCTTGTTGACAACACACTATTCACCTACCTTGCACTTTTGACATGGTAAGTGAATCAATGTGAAGCCTTAGCTGCAAGTTCTCTGTTCTAATATTATTTCATTAATTAAAAAAATGCTTTTCTATTATGAGATCTCGGCTTGTACATATTTAAAGCCACAGAAACCAGATTTAAAATATACTATTCCCAGAAAAGATTCCATTGTTTTTACAAAGTTCTGTATCCAGGAAGAAAACTAAGAAACAACCACTCACTTCTCTCTGCGATTGCTGCCGCCCTACGGAAAGAACAAGACGAGATTGTCAGGGGCATCTAAAAATGGTATGTTGGTTATTTGGGTTATACAATACCAGGAAATGTATTCTGACTGCGTCTGAAAGGGCTCACAAAAACAGTACATAGTGTCTATTCTAGGTTTGGGACAACTTTAGCCATTTATTCATGTAAACATCCTCTAAGACAGAAATATTGCACAAACAAACGTAGATGAATTTGTTTACTCACTTAAGTCTTTGGAATTCTACAAATGCATCCTCCCAAACTGCAGCAGAACAAATCAATGATTATATTTTGGGTGGACAAGTACAAAAACAACCACATTTAAGATGAAGATCTTCTTTTTAACAGTCATCTTTAAGTTATTATTTCCCACCCACCCTTTCCAGTCAGTTCCAAGACTCTCTTTACGCTGTCCTTGCCATCAAAGATATCCATGGTGTATTTGCCCTTGTCCTTTTCAGTGGGTTCATTGATCTTAAGCCAAAGCTCCTCTCCTGTGACACCAGACTTGACTCTCTCTGAGGCTGCGATCTTGCCATCTCTGGTGAAGAAATTGAGAGTGCAGAGATCAAGTAGGATCAGATAAATGAAGCATCGTGGTCTACACGAGAGAATTGTTTTCATATTTTATACTAAAAGTTTGTATAAATGGAATTTTTATTTAAACCTTTTTTTTTTTCCTAAGTTGTTAAGTATAATGCAGCAAAAACTTAAATGTATACGTTTCCAAAAACGATGGGGCGTTGTTTAAAATTTTAATTAAAAAGTAATTCAGTAATATGCAAATTGTCTCAATGGATTTTTATGGCAGCAGCTTGTCTAGAAAAAAATGAAACAGGGCTTTTACAACTGTAAAGCCTCCCCTCGTTTTATTTATTTTGTGAGAAAAACTGTAAATGTCTAGGACTCCAATTGACACCTTCATGCAGGTGACCAAAACGTTTCTCTCGTCGTGAGCCAGGCTAACAAAGAGCCTAACAAGCCTCCATTGTGTAGGGTGAGTAGCTCCAGTCTAATCTGCAGAACTGATAAAGTCTCCTGGATGGGAAGAAAACGTCTTCAGCTTCAGAATAGAAGTCCAGTTGTTGTTTTTTTTTTTACCCTTTCTTTGGAACGTGTAGGACGGGGTGTCAAAAGTGTGGCCCGGGGGCCATTTGTGTCCCTTGGAGTGATTTTGTGCGGCCCACATGATTTGCAGTTTAAGTTTGGTATAATTTTGGCCCATAGGCTTAAGTGATGAAGACTTTTGCAAATTTAATGATAATTTTTTTATATAATTTTTAGGTTTAACAGCAAAACGGATTAAAAAGTTTAATACAATCTTTTGGCAATAAAAAAAAAAAAATCAACAAAAAATATTTAATTAATAAAAGGTAATGTTTATGAAACTTTTAATATTAATATTTTGGATATACAGTAGTCCCTTGTTTATCGCAGGGGATCCGTACCCTGAAGCCCCGTGATAAGTGAAAAACCGGGAACTAATAATAGTAGTACAAGTAGTAAGTAGTTTCTTTTAGTGTGTGTATATATATATATATATATATATATATATATATACATATATGTAAAGGCGTTTTAAACCCTTCTCACACTTTTGCAATATTCTAAACAATGTTTCTAAACTCTAAACACTAAAAGAGCACATAATGTCTTGATTTCAGCTCCCTGCCTCCGCTGCTCTCAGCCACCTGCAAGTGCGCTTGGCCGCTCCCACTTCTATGCTCTGCACGGAGAACAGCCGATCAGCTGCAGCAGGAAGTTTATTCTGCAGCTCTGGGCTGCACAAATGTGCAGCAGATGCTAAATAACTTAAAATAATTTATTTAAAATAAAAATTCCATGCCGATCGTGGGGCTCATCCATCACTCAGCCACTTTTGTGTCATATCCAATCTTATTTTGAAAAACCGCGATATTGCGAGTCTGCAATAAACAAACCGCTAAGTAGCGAGGAACTACTATACAACAATTTAGAACACTTTCTCCACCAATATGAATGCACTTTGTCCATTCTCTAAAATATTGTTTACGGTGAGTTAAAAGAACTCACTAAAAATATGTATGCTTATTATTATTATTGTTATTATTGTTATTATTAGTCACATTTTTATGTCTTGTGTCTCCTTTCATCTTCAAGGTTTTGGCCCGCATGTGAAAATGTTTGGACACCCCTGGTGTAGGACATAAAAAGATCAGGTGTTGGAGGATTAGGAGGGAAGTTTCTCATTCTTGTCTGATGTAGGACTCTAGTTATTCAGTCCTGCGGGTTCTTTTGTTGTTTGCTGGACAAGAGCATATTGTCTAAAAACCTGTTTATACTTCTCTTCAATGATGGTGCCTTTCCAGATGTGAAAGCTGTCCACGCCATAAGCACTAATGAACACCATATAATTAAAAGGACAAGAGTCTGAACTGAGTGCTCATAACAGGCTGGATGTGTCAAACTTGTTACAAAAAGGGGGCCAAATTAAAAACTTGGTTCAAGCCACGGAGCAATTTTAGCTGAAACATGAACTCAGCTCAGAACTCTGACATGTTGTCTTGGGTTTATCGCTATCATTTGTTTGTTCTCTTTCCACATCAAAATAAAAGATTGCTGAAAAATACAAACTTTCATCTGGCTTCAAAGTTGGCCAACCGCCACGAGATGTCTGCACAACATGAAGTATTTATTAGTATATTTAAGCAAAATGAGAAGTGATAAAAATATTTCATATTTAAAATATCATTCTGGGGGGCCTGAAAAGATGTTAACAGGGACCAGATTTGGCCCCTGGGCCTTGAATTTGACACATGTGGTCCTTGTGGTTTCCTAAAAAAGTTTTCCGCTTTTATCAACGCATTTTAAATAAGCTTTGGCCCACAGAAGACTGCAGCATTTCAGGACAGTGTTCATATATGGTTTCTTCCTTGCATGAGCGTTCATGTATTTTGTATTTACAAACCATGATTAGTAGAAGTGTGCCTGAACCCATGCAGTGATGTCCAGAACGGAGTCAGACTTGGTTTTAATGCAGTGTCTGAGGGCCTGAAGATCACCAGCATCCAATACTGTTTGTCATTGTTCTTTGCAAACATAGGTTTGTTCAGGTTCTTGAAATCTTTTGTTGATGTAATGAACTCAAGGTGATGGAGTTTTGAAAGTCTTCCAGATTGTTCTAATTTTAAGACACTTGTTTTTTTCTTTACAAAATGCTGAACACATGCACGTCTTTATTTCTGACAGATTCTGATCTAAAATGCTCGTTTTATATCCAGTCCTCTAACTAACCTGTTGTCAATTAATCTAATTATGTACTAAACGCTCTTCCAGCTGATTACTATTCATACCACTTACCATATTTTTCAGAGTATAAGGCACACTTACAATCCTTTAATTGTCTCAAAAATCAACAGTGAGCCTTATAATCCAGTACGCCTTTTGGACTTATCTGACTGTTTTGTTTCGTTTACTGTGCCTTATAGTCCGAAAAATACGGTACTGTTACAGCTTTTTGGTGCCCCTTTCCGAACTTTTTCAAGATGTGTTACTGCCATAAAATTCAAATATAGAAAAAAAAAAATTCCCAATTTTGTCTCAGTGTTCATAATAATTTATGTATTTTCTGATAGTTGACACGAAAAGTTTTAAAAGAATGTCAAATGAATGTCTGTCGTGAATTGTTCATACTTGTGAAGCCAGCCAACACGCAGGTTCTGGTCATAATACGTGACCACAGAGGAGAGGACGATGCCACTTTCAGTACTTGTAACTCGGATTTCACTGGAGGAGTTGGCTGTGATGAAAACAACAGCAACAAGTTTATTGAGTTTCATTAACATCCAGAGGAAATCATAAACTGTGATATTATTCAATAATATATACGAGCATTTCTTGTAAAGTTCGTCATATTTCTGCTCATAAAAGCATCTTGGTTATGTTGAATTTGACTCACCAATAACTCTAAACAGCTCGTTCATTACAGCTTGGTATCCTGAGGGAAACAACATAAAAACACTTTTAATCAGCGTGAAATTTGAACATATGTCTTTCGTGAAACTTTAAAATCACTTTTCTGTCTCATTTTCTGTTCAGGAAATGCACAGGAGAGACTTCACCTGCATCCGTCAAATTAAAGGCGCTCTTATCTTTCCCTCTGTCGTCTCTCAGGAAGACCTCGTAAAAACCTGCGTCCTGCTTGGAGATCTAGGGGTGCAGAGAAAAAGTTGCATTAAGTATCCTTGAGACAATAATGAATTCCCATCTTCATTAAATGACGGGGACATTATCATTCTTGGGACAGTCAGCAGACAGCAAAATAGCCAGACGGAGACCAATTAAACCGAAAAGTCAAGCTTTTCTCCCGCCCGTGATGCTGCAGGCGTTAAATTCATGAAAGAACAGAGAGAAACATGGAAAAGGTAAGACAAGGAGGACACATGGAGGCATTAGGCATGAACTTATGGCAGAAAGATTATGTCCGAACTTTAGGTCTTGGCAGCGGGGGAACGTCCTTTGCAGATGGTTTTTTCCCTCCTTTTTCTTTCTTTTTCTCTTGCTTAAAAATCCACTGTGAATTAGACAGATGAACTCAGGACGGTTAACTCTTTTTTTTTTTTTTTAATCATTAATCGTGATTCTGTGTTAGAACGGAATGGGTGGCAGCATGGCATCTAGTCAAGATTTACAATGAAAGCATAGCTGCATCACTATCGATTTTAGCTTTGTACTCTGAAGTATCCTCACAAAGAACAGCCTCCTAACAGACTGACCTTTCCAATATTAAAGGTCAGCTCACAATCCTTTTTCTCAATTTTCTTAGCATCCTCATCATCCTCTGCAATCTCAATGGAGTCCTTGGACCAAATGATCTCAGTCTCGGGTCTGATATTTCCAATCTGCAATAGAAGAAAGAGATTACGGTGAGTCGCCTGAATGATAATAGAATTATAGTAAAAGCTGTTTATTTACAGTTCCATTCCTTTACCTTGCACTTCAACAGCACGTCACATTCTTGAGTAACACTAAAGTCAAGGTACTCAACAAAATGCGGACCTGTGGAAAGCAATACGAACATAATCAGAGAAACATGCTAATGTGCTGAGCGCTGAACTTTATGTGATGGAGGTGAAACAAGATTTCTTACCTTGTTTCCTGACCCACTCTGCATGCTCGAACTCCGATTTCTTTTGAAGCTCCCTGAATTCTGAACAAGTACAGAATACTTTTTGAATACCAGATAATTAAAGACTTTTTTTACTGCTGCATAATGTAAATAAATAAATAAGAAGGCAAAAGGAACTAGAGAAATTTCATTGCAAAAATGCAGTGTGAATGCTTATCGCTGAAGAACTTGCTGAAAAACAGCTGAAATTAACTAAAAACATGCTGCAATGTAGCTGAAGTTGAACAACAAGCCCAAGTTAGCAGAAGAAAACAGAACATTTGATTTAAATATGCAGAAATTATCACAAGAATTAGGAAATTGCCTTAAAAATGCTGAAATGAGCAACAAAAAAAGGGCTTAAAAGTAGCTGAAAAGGCAGAAAGAAGCTTAAAAAAGAGGAGGAAGTGGAAGGAGCTGAAATTATCTAAAAAAAAGAAAAAAAAGAAAGTGGAATTAGTTGAAAAAACTAAATTTAGCCCAAAACAAAAGTAGCTGAAAAACTGGAACTAGTAGAAAAAAAGCTAAAAGCAGCTGAAATTAGCAGAAGGAAAGTAATTAGGATGAAAGTAACAGAAATTACCACAAAAAAATTGAATTTATCTGAAAACAGCTTAAATTAACTGAAAAATGCTAAAATGCAAAAAAAGTAGCTGTAGAACAAGTTTAAATTTCCAGAAGAAATCAGAAACAATGCATTTACCCAATTAGACTGAAAGAAGCAGAAATGAACACAAAAAGTGAAAATTATCTGAAAAAAGCAGAAATTAGCAACCAAAAAAAAGGATCAAAAATAGCTAAATTTTTCAGAAATAAGCTTAAATTACCAGAAGTAGAACAGAGAACACATTTTTGCTGAATTAGGTGGAAAAAAGTTGAAATGAGTGCAAAAAAATAAGGGATTAGCCATAAAAGCTAAAATTAGCATAAAACAGCTAAACAGTAGCTGAAAAAGAAGAAAAAGCTTAAACTTGCATAAATAAGTGGAAAGGAGCATGAAAGCTGAAATTAACAGAAATAAGTTACAAGAATCACACAAAAAAATGTAATTAGCAGAAATAATCTGAAAGGATCACAAAACAGATGAAAAACAGCTGTAAGTAGCTTATAGTAGCTAAAAAAAAGTTTAAATTTGCACAAGGAAGCTGAAAGCAGCTGAACCAAAACAAAATGTGAAAGGAGCAGTAAAAGGTTGTAAACAGATCTAAAGATTTGAAGGATGTAAAATGAGCTCAATTCATTGTCTAGGAGAAAAAAAAGTGGTAGAAAAGCTAAATATTTCAAAAATCTAAAGCTGCACCAAAACCAAAAGTCATAGCACCCTTCTCCTGAACAAGCTGAATGTTTTGATATACGATTTGTTGAAATAGCACAAAAACTGTAGAACGAGAAAGATGCTGCAAAATGAAAAACGGATCACAGTAGTGTGAATGCTTCATAAACATTCATGCAATAAATTGAAGCAAAGAAAGGTTTATCACCGCTGCCTCTCAGTGGACATCACTTCAAACTGCAGAATGGCTTCTAATGCATGTCAGCGCCTACAAGTGTCTGCTCTGCCTCTATTTATATTGATAAATCTGAATATATTATGAATATAAAAGCACACCTTGGAATAGATCTTACCATCTCCAATTAGCACCAGACTGGTTGTACCCTTAGCCTTGCCATCCACCAGGTTAAAAGTGAACGTTCCCTCATCGGTGACCTCCAGAGAGTCCATAAACATCTCGATGATGCCGGTGGATTTATCAAACTTCATTGAGTACTTCTGGAAACAAATAAGCACAAAGGACACAGATCTATCATAGCAACAAGATGCAAAGAGACAGGTTATACCGGTGTTTGATCTCTACCTTTCCTTCCTCGATAACGACATCATTGAAGACATACTCCACTTGGCAGGCAGAGGTAAATTTCTCCAGCTGAGTCCAGAACCGAACCCGGCCTTTCTCAAGCAGCTCCATGGCCATTTCACTCTTGAAGGGAATAACTAGGAAACACCAGGGTTAGTCAAGCTTTTGTGGAGCTAAAAACACATTTTGCAGGTGGAAGACTGAGGTTTACTGTAAAATCCTTGTAAGAATAATGCGTGCTATATATTCATATTCACCAGGGAACTTGTGCTCATGGCTAATGTCCAGAAGACGCAGGAGACCTGTCAAAATATAAAAAAGACAAACTCAAGAATAAAACAGGTGAATGATCTGAGTCAACAACGAGTCCAGCTCAGTGTATTATGATACGAAGCAGCTGTTCAAACAGGATAACATGGATGAGTGTATACTGCCAAGACCGTGGGCTGACTCACCCTCCTCAGTGAGTGTGTAGCTGGAGGAAACGCCGTCTGTGTTGGTGACCACACAGGAGAAGGTGCCCAGATCCTCCAGGGAAGGATTGTTGAAGATAGCTCGGGATCTGCAGATGATTGGGGAAAGAAAGCTTATTTGGGATGTTCGCGTGGTGGTTCCGAACCCCCTACAGGAACAGTAAGAATACCTACTTGCCCCCTTTACTGTCTATAGTCAGGCGAGATGTGTCTGTGATTTCCTGGTAATTCTTGGACCAAACAAACTCAGAGTTTGCGCTCATCTCGGAGCACTCGAACATCATAGAAATCACACCGTCATCGTCGACATCCACATAAATCTCCTTGGTGCCTAAAATAAATAAATTATGAGACCAACACTTGGATTAGTCGTTTTTAGGAGCAGAACTTAACGTGTGCCAAGAAAGTCAGTCAAGATGTAAATAAACAGAAGAGAAAAAAAAACCTCGTGAATACATTTTCCTACTTTTTCAGGCTTTTCGAACTTCTGTAGGAACGCAGTGCAGCTGAATGCAAGAGTTACATAAGAATCCCACTCACCAGGGCGAGTCTGGGCCAGGATTGGACCTAAGACTGCTGAGGATTTTCCAACTCCAACAAGATTCTGAGCACGCACACGGAAGACGTAGGATGTTCCAGCCTTCAGCCCAGTCACCTGAATCAGCACATAAAGAGCACAGGAGTGGGCCGCTCGGCACAACACTTATGATAATTTCTTTCACACATGCGTCAGAATGTACGCATCTTCTTTACCTTCATGAACTTGCTCTTGTTGGTTTTCTCATGAACAGCCTTCCAGCCTTCTTCCCCAGCAGAAGCTTCTTTGATGTCCAAGTAGTAGCCGTTGACGGGACTGCGGCCACTGAATACAGGTGGTTCCCATAGAACCACGGCCGAGGTGTCACGGACCTCCTGCACGTGGAGACCGACAGGAGGCCCTTGAGGAATAAAAAGCATAATCTAATAAACTTTTCAAAAAGGTTGGATTTTCATTTTCAAACGAAAACATGCTAGTTGAATACAGTAGTCCCTCGCTACTTTACGGTTCATTTTTCGCGGACTCGCCCTATCGCAGTTTTTCAAAGTAAGATTGGACATGACACACAATTGGCTGAGTGATGGATGAGCCGCATGACTGACATGGAATTTTTATTTAAAATAAATTATTTTACTTTGTAAATTATTTAGCATCTGTGTGCAGCTCACAGCTGCAGAAAAAGCTTTCTCCTGCAGCTGATCAGCTGATCTCATGGAGAAGTGGGCATGGCCAAGAGCACTGGCAGGTAGATGTGCTATTTAAGAGACTGAGCTGAAAACAGCACCTCAGACTGAGGAAGTCTCTTGGATGAGAGACGAAACGTTTCTAGATTTTTTTGCTTTGTTTTTTTTTTTTTTTTTTTTTTTTTTAATGTCCAGAGGACCAGATTGAACTTTTTTGGACTGGCAGGTAGAGTTGCATTTGGGCCCAAAAAATCAGATCCAACCTGGCCCAAGCCCGTAGTCATCATTTTCTAACCCCACCTGACCCGACGAATTAACAGTAATTACAGGTCCGACTCTGAACCCAGAAAAAAAACTGACATTTTTAATTAAGCTTTGACTACTTGTAGTTAACGGTGGGTGGATGCGCGGTAAAGTTAGTTTTACGTTGGACGTTCGAGTTTGGCTGACCGAAATCAGACTGCCTGCATCGGATTGAATGATAGGAACACACAGCTGAAGCTACTTTGCAGTTTTTCACTTATCGCAGGGATTCCGGGTACAGATCCCTCGCGATAATCGAGGGACTACTGTATCTACAACATTTAAAAAAAAAGAAGAATAAAGTCCCAAAGCAAACTGTTGGGAAGAACGTTGTATTACCTCTTCTGGGAAATACAACAGCTTGTATTTTCTGGGGGTGGGGGGTGGGTTGGGGTGTTCTCTAATGTTTTTTGCAAAAGCCCTCAAACTCTGAGACTATAATTGGTTAATAATTGTAATCTGCTATCTCAGGTCTATGCACTGATATTTATGTGATGTTTAGCCTCTGAAGAATCTTTTACTTACAGGACTCCCTTGTTTAAGTATGTTTAATAGGTTTCCTTCCAAATATGTATTGCTTATGAACTTTTAAATCAGCTTATGGCAAAATAAAGAATGTTTAATTTATTACGTCTAAACATTTTGATTCAGTTTTATATCGCAGACACAATTATTTAATGAAATAAAAGGGACGTTTATGAAAAGTTAAATGTACTGAAATAGATCCAAGTTTAAGTTTAATTGTATTTTAATGCAACCCAAAGCTCAAAACCTAACCCTCCTGTTGCCCTCGAGTCAAAATGACGTCCACCAAGGCCTTAGATCAAAAACCGAGGCCTCAGGAGTCCTTTTGACCCAAGAGCAACATTAAGGATGTCTGAACTATAGACAAGTGAAAAAAATTAATTACTTAAACAAGCTTTAACTGAAGTGTTATACATTTTAATAATTATTATTTATACATCTAGTTATTTACATTGTCAAACTAAATTTACCAACTTTATTATTATTATTATTAACACCAGTGTGTTTCACTTTTTTTTTTTACCTGGAACAGTAATGGTCCACTCTTTACACTCCAGAGCTTTACTGGGAGGAGAAGCTTTGCTCACGCCGGCCATGTTCAACGCACGCACTTGGAACTGATAGAAGACGTTTTCCTTCAGGTTCTCAGCCTAAAAATAAAAATTAAATTAATAATGAAAAGAAAAACTTTGTATACAAAGATATGCTTCTGATCTAAAACCAAAAACTGCTGTCATTCTACATAATGCATGGTTCTGTGAGGGTACAGACCTTATAGGAGGTTGTGGTCAGGGCCTTGTGGTTCAATTCGTGCCATTTTCCAAAAACACTTCCCTTCACGCTCCTGTAATCCACAAAATATCCCCTGACATCAGCTCCTCCGTTGTTTTCAGGTGCAGTCCAACCCACCACCATGTAGTCCTTGACAGCCTCCAGCAGGGTCACACCGGTCGGTTCCCCAGGTACAGCTGTGAAGAGAGAACATCAGCCGATCAGCATCATTTGTGTTAATGAAGTGTTCTTTAAATTCCAACATAATCTTAAACAGGTGTCCTGGCTTTACCAAGTGCTGGTTAGATGTTTGCAGGGATTATTGCTCTGATGGTATTTTGGTTACAGGAGATACATCTGCAAGCTCGGCACACACAAGCAACACTTTGCGAATACTTACTCTCAAGGCCAGAAAACTGGGTAATATTCATGCCAAGAATATCTCTGAAGGCCGGGCGAGACTCTCCATAGGATCATGCTCTTTAAGAACACATTGTTTTAGCCTTCAGCTTGTTCATGCACCAAGATGTGCCCCTGAGGAGTTATCAAAAGGCGAAACAGAACTCCAGCAATGTCAATTTAAAGAGAAATCAGTACCAGCACACAAAAAAGGCATGTTACAACATTGATTGCATATTTCAAGAAAAGGACAAACAGTAGAAAATAGCTACATAAAGTGTTAGTTATGAACTATTTCGTGCAAAGTCGTGCAACATATTGCATTCAAGAAACTCAATTATACATTGAAGCATATTAAAACATTAAAATATTGCAGGAAAGTTGTGCAAGGTGGTAGAAGTTGAAAACAAAAAGTAGGAATATGCAGTTATCTTAAACTATCTGGGAGATTTGAATTAACTGACTACAGACTGAATATATAGCAGAAAACTTGAACATGCAGGTGTTTTTTTTTTTTTTGCACTCACAGATGGCAGCTTGTACAATCACAGCATCAGAATTGGCAGAGCTCTGGCTGTATCCTGCAGCGTTCACTGCCTTCACCCTGAACACGTAGTTCAGCCCGGTGGTGAGGCCGTGGCAGACAAATCTGGAAGGAATTGAGACGGTTTAGATTTAATAAAAGATGGCACGGGTTAAACAAGGTACAATTCTGCTCTGAAGGAAGAACACGTGAAGAGTTAGAATTAAAGTTACACAGCTTTGGTCATCTTCAGAAAATCCAACTGCACATAGCATCGCCATGTATGCTCTTAGACATACTTAAAAGGTTTTAAACTCATATCCATGTTTTAGAAAAAAGAAGATTAAAATGTGCGCAAAAAGAAAAAAAAGCAACCTGAGTTTGTCACCTGTACCTTTTACCTGTGTTATTTTAAATTTCTTCTTTCACTCTGATCGTCGAACGTTGCTTTCACTTGATGTTTGGTTTAGTTTCACGTGTTTAAACTGCACAGTGAAATTAAGGCAACTAAGACAGTGTTAGATGCCAAATGGTTTACTTAATGCTCTTTATTTTGGAGCAACTATTCATATCAGCAGCCATTTTTGTTGATTTTGTTTATTGAATGAGGAGAAAAAAGGATGCAGCTTTGTGTTTAAACCTGCCCAATCCATAGAAATATTGTTATTATCGGTGCATAAGTTTTTAAGATCTTTTTATTCTGCTGCATTATATGAATATTTTACTTTGCCTTTTCATTTTACATTTCAAAAGAAAAAAAATAATCATATTTATGAGCATCAACAGAATAATTAAAGACAACCTTTTTCTTTAAAAGGGCAAATACTTTACTCATGTTTTCAACATTGCCTACCTGGTCTGCTTGAGGGGCTTATTGTTGCAAGGCATCCAGACGTCAGTGCCCACCACACTGCATTCAATGTAGTAGCCAACCAACTGCTTGACGTCCTTTGAAGCCCCCCAGAAGACCACCACAGAGGTGTCCGTGTTCCTGGTGGCCACCGGACTGACTGGAGGTGAGGGCAAGTCTGCAAGGGATTTCAAAATACAATAAAACCTAAGCTTATTGAACAGGAAGTAAACAACAGAATGCAATAATAATCATAAAAATACAATGTAAGTCATATCCTCGGATAACCGAGGCAGGGGTCTCCGTCCGTGTGCAGAACGAGCGCCGGCTCACCAAGTTTATCTCCAACTACGATCTCTCTGGTGGATTCAGAGGCCTCGCCCACGCCGGCAGAGTTGCAGCAGCGCACACGAAAGCTGTAGGATTTACCCTCAGCCAGGTCAAAGAGTGCAAAGCGTGGAGACTTGACTGGCATACCAGTGTTCACCCTCTGCCAGGTGTCCGTCCCTGAAATACACTGGAAGAAAAATAAAGAAAATAAATTACGTGCGCATAAATAATATATCTGTAATCTAACCAGCCTTTTGTCCCCCGTTTTATTTTAACTAACTAATTTAGTAGTAAGATTATTAAAACTGCGCTCAGTGCTGTCGTACACTGAACATTTGCTCCCTCTTTTACACGTACAGAGCTACGTGCACTATTACAATAATTAGCACATAATTAATACAAGTAGTCAAACGGGATTCAAATGAAAGAAATAAAGCCTTTGTTGTAGGCAATATTTAAAGATAAAACGTCTTTATTAATGTTAAAAGTTGTTAAACTACAGAAATCAGCAGTAAATGTTAGCCAAATATTACTATTGTCAATCATGTGATGCAGAATAAATTACTTTCAGTGTAAAGTCTGTGTGTTTTATGGGTTAAAACTGTCAAAAACAAATCATTTATTTAATAAATAAAATATTATTAAGATTATTTGAAATATCAATTAGCATATTATTTCGTGATGTAGACAGGACTGCATTCCCCCTGACCTTCTCAATGTAATACATGACTCCTTCATGCCCCCTCTGCACTGGGGGCTTCCAGGCAAGCACCACATAGCTCTTGGTTGCCTCGGTTACAAAGACATCCGTTGGCTCTCCGGGAACAATACCCACTGTGGTAGAAAACAAAAAGAAAAACAACACTGATCATGAATTCTTCTAACCCAGTATAGTTATTTATGCAAATAGTGAAGGTAAAAAAATTGTGCAAACAATTAAAAACATTTGTGAAAACAAGGATGATGATATCTTGTCTAATATGGCCGACATGTCAGAATGAAACTGTTGGAGAAATCATTCAAGAAATCTATTAGGGGAATGTGGGGTGGCACGGTGGCGCAGTTGGTAGAGCTGTTGCCTCTCAGTGAGAAGGTCGCCACATCGAATCTTGGCCTGGGTCCTTCTGGGTGGAGTTTGCATGTTCTCTCCGTGCATGTGTGGGTTTTCTCCGGTTTCCTCCCACAGACCAGAAACATGCATGTTAGGCTGAGCGGTGACTCTAAATTGTCCCTAGGTGTGAATGGTTGTTTGTCTCATTTGTCTCTTATGTATCCCTGTGATGGACTGGAGACCTGTCCAGGGTGTCCCCCGCCCTTCTCGTACAGTGACTGCTGGAGACGGGCACCAGTGACCCCTGTGACCCGAAAAGGAAGAAGCGGGTAAAAGATAATGGATGGATGGATTAAAGAAACTTGAGATGTTTGTCGATAATGCTTCAACAGACCAATTACTGGATGGGAGCCAAAAATCATTCAACGGATTATTTAACATAATGACCCACTTGCTAAAAAAAAAAAAAAAAAGGCACATATTAGCACTTCTTTTTTTCGGGTTTTCCTTCTTCAGGAGTCTCCACAGCGAGTCTTCCTCCTCCCTCTCACTTTGTCCTCTTCGTCCTCTGTTCTCACTCCAACTACCTCCATGTCCTCTCTAACTGCACACACCTTAGCACTTTTCTAACTAAAAGTCCAATATCTGTTCAATTAATAATACAGTGCAGCAGTGAATAAACAGGTTATTTGCTTAAAGCCAAACATTTCCATTATTGTTGTACCTGCAGGAGAAAGAAAAATGGCAGGGATACAAAATTGATATGCCAGAAAATATAATGTCATAAACTACATAAAGTCCTCTGTAAAACTTTAGTTGTCATTATCTGAGCTGCTTTGTTTGGAGGGTGGAACCTTTCAATATGTTTGCAGCAGATCTCCTTGGAAATAGTGCCTTCATGTGGTAAAGGGCTCAAAGTATGATTACCGTGACTAGTAAAAAATGTTTAATTCAACAAATCACAGCTTATGATTGTTTTTGGTTGATTATGATTCTTTTGATGAAAGATGACCACTTCAACTAAATAAGAACATTCTTGTTCTATTTTGTACCAAACATCAGTAATAAAACAGCAAAAGGTCTCGAACCTGTGGGGTCCTCCTCTGTGAACTTGATCACTCCGGTCCATGGCGCTGAGGGTCCAGCTGATGACAAAAACAAACATAAAATTTGAGTTGCTTGCGTTGTTGAAATGTTTCAGCAGGCTTTTAATGCGTCTCGAACCTCTGAGTCGAACTCTGTCTGATGGATCCATGGCGACCACAGCTTCAGAGATGCGGGATGGACGGCTGACTCCCTCGTTGTTCAAGGCCCGCACCCTGAAGACGTATGAGCGCCCCTCCACCAGTCCTGTTACAGGGAAGCGGGCGTATTTCACTGGAGCATCATTGCACTGAGCCCAGTGATGAGTGCCCACCTCACACCTGCAAACAGGAAGTACATCTGCAATGTTGAGTATTGGGGTGACAAGTTATAAAAATGATATATTAGCATATCAGTTTTTACATCAGCCTACGCATAAACTAAATCACAGTTGCAAAGAAGCAAGTCTTCAAGTAACTTAAATACCACTTGCAAGCAAGTTCCTTTACAGGGAAATAAAAAATAACCAGTCTCACTGTGTTTCACGTGAAAAAATTAAAGATCTAGCATTCCCGCTTTTCATGCCAGAGTTTGATAATAAAATCATCTTAGGTTGAGAAATGACAAATTTGTAAAAAAAAAAAAAAAAAGTAATGTGGAATTTTAGTTCAATACTTTTTAAATTTACTGAGTTTTAGCTTTTTATTTTATTTTTTTTCCGACCAACCTGTCGATGTAGTACCCCAGGATGGAGCTGCTGCCCTCCACCGCTGGCTGCTTCCAAGTTACCACTACATAGTCCTTATTAACATCATGGCAGCGCACATCCAGGGGGGCCACTGGAACCCCCTCCACCTCCACATCAGCATCTGTAAGATCCAAAACCCACATATCTCAGAAGGCGCAGCAATGACTGAACGGTGGCGTTTTTAAATTTGACAGATCTACTTTACACACTCGGGTTTCGTTGTCTGACCTAAGAATGCATCGCTGTAACTAGTTGGGATGCATGACTTTACATCTTACATTTAAATAGGAGTTTGATTTAAACACATGCTGTGGCTCCTGGATGCAGACAGAAATGGATACAAAAAATGACAGAGATGCTTCACACCGACTGCTGTGTCACTTAAATATGCAGCAGAATTAAACAGTGTCAGTTTAAAAATGTCACAAAACAGCCTCTCATAATGATAACATTTTAAAACAAAAACTAAAAATCTGAACGTTTAGGGATTTGTTTTGCAATGAATTCATTCCACGCTTTACCTCTGACGAACACATAGGCTGAGTGGGTGTCAAAGCCAGATTTTGTGTTGACCCGCAGAGTGTACATGCCCTCGTCTTCCTTGTTGAGGTGGGTAAGGGTGAGAATGGCACGCTCCCCAGACCAATGCGTGTGCACCCATTTAGAGAGCTTCAAGGGGACAGCTGATGAAATAAATCAATAATGCCAGAATCAGGGTTAAATCCAAGCTTAACCCCACTGGAAAGGTAAATGCACATTTATTTTTCTCCGTACAGTTTCTGTACCACACAACTTCAGGCTGGTATTTTTTCACAGTGGGGTAGATGATGACCGTGCAGCCCAGACTCAAAGTTTCTCCTTCACGGCCAAAAGCCACATCGAATTTATCAATGATGGTTGTTTGGAAGGTGACACCGTGTTCAGGGCAAAAACCATCTGAGGATGAAAAGAAAATACAGACTTTCTGCTCAAGAAATGTATTCAACTGTTTCTAAATTTCATTTGTACAGTTCTTTGATCTAAGCCAGGGGTTCCCAACATTGTTCCTTGAGGAACACCATCCTGCAAGTTTTAGTTGTCTCCCTGCTCCAACAAACCTGATTCAGTGATTTAATTACTACCTCGTGTTCTGCAGAAGCATGTCAATTACCCATTAATTAAAATCATGTGACTCAGAATAGAGAAACAAGTAAAACATTCAGGATGGTGTTCCTCAGGGACCAGGGTTGGGAACCCCTGGATTCTAAGCCATTAAAGATTTGCTTTGTTGAAGGATAATACAATCTGAAGAGATGATGAGACTGCAACTGAATGAAAGCCTTTTAGAAATTCATCTGCACAAGTGACCATTTGAAATTCTCAAATGCTAGATGAGGATGACAAATCGTTAAAGTTTTGTTTCTTTTTTCACTTCATGATGGACATAAATGGACAAAAAAAGAAATGTCTCACGTGGTTTAGGATCAAATAGACCTGCTTCTGGACCATCTTGAAATCCTGTTGGAAAAAAAAAATCCATCAATAACCTTAATTGAGACAAATGCCTCAAGTAAATGAAGCCCAAGAAATAAATAGCAAATTATATTTTTCATCACACTGTGCCTTTATGCCTATTTCACTTGCGAAAAAGAGTTTGATACTACTTTGTACGAAGAGCCTCAACTTTTCTAACATGATTTTTATTTGAAGGAAACAAAGACCTCTACCTACTTTTGACAACAACAGTGGCTGCTGAGGAAGCTTCTCCTTTCACATTGAGGGCAGAGACGTAATACTGAGCAGTGTCCAAGAAGTCACAGCTACAAAACAAACAAAAAAAAAAACAAGTAATAAATCATGGACCACGCTTTTGCTTTTAATGTGCTGCAGAGGACTGAACACTTCTGGGCCGTTCATTTCAGCAGTTTGTGAGGTGATTGATTACCTACTTCTTGATCTCCAGGGAGTGCATGTTGTAAGTGCTTTCAGCTGTGAACTTCTCAGGGTGGGCCTTGGCATCAATGAGCACATTGTTTTTGTACCTGGAAAACAAAAAAAATTGGAAAGATTACATTTAAAATTCAGGGTCTTTACTTTCATCAGCCTTATTAATATCACCAGTTGTGTCCGTGTGTATGTGTTCATTTGTCTGTCTGTTATCAAATCATCTCATGAATCAGTGGATGTTAGCCACCATAGCTAATTGACCATAGTCAACCCATCCATCAATCCATTATCTTTACCCGCTTATTCCATTTTGGGTCACGGGGGTCGCCGGTGCCCATGTCCAGCAATCACTGTGCGAGGTGCGGGGTACACCCTGGACGGGTCGCAAGTCCTTCACAGGGCCACATAGAGACAAACGAGACAAACAACCATTCACTGTCTCACTCACACCTAGGGACAATTTAGAGCTACCAATCAGCCTAACATGCATGTTTTTGGTCTGTGGGAGGAAACCGGAGTACCCGGAGAAAACCCACGCATGCATGGAGAGAACATGCAAACTCCACCCAGAAAGGCCCCTGGACCGGGGTTTGAACCAAGGACCTGCTCGCTGAGAGGCAGCAGCTCTACCAGTTGCGCCACAGTGCTGCCCCATAGTCAACCCAAATGCCATTATCAAGCTTTGACAAAAATGACTATATTTTATTCTCCTTCTTCTCAGCACAAGATGATTTTAGTTTCAAACTGTGACATGAAAGGTGTCTGTCGTTATGCATTCTTTCAAGAAATCCTGAGTCATGAATTTCTTCTCCATCTCCATCTTCATCTGCTTATCCATATTTGGGTAGCGGTGGCAACTATTCCAGGAGAGAAACCCAGACATCCCTCTCCCCAGCGACAGTTTCCAGATTATCCTGGGGGAGCATGAGGCGTTCACAGGTCAGCAAGGATATGCAATCTCTCCATCGAGTTCTGGGTCTTCCCCAGAGCATCTTCCCAGTGGGACGTGCCCAGAATACCTCCAAAGGGAGGCGTCCAGGAGGCATCCTAATCAAATGTCCAATCCACTTCAACTGACTCCTTTTAATGCAGAGAAGAAGCGGCTCTACTCCTAGCTCCCTCCCGATGATGGAGCTCTTCAGCCACCATACGAAGGAAGCTCATTTTGGTGACTTGTATCTGGGATCTTGTTCTTTTGGTCATGATCCAAACCTCATGACCTTAGTTGAGGGTTGGAACGTAGTCAAAATGACGATTGACGTCACATATCCTGCAGTATGGCAGCACTGACGGGAACTCTGCTTCAACTAGCTCTTTTTGGTTCCTGTTGTTTTTGTTTCAACTTTTTTTGCATCTACACTGTACACACACTCAACGGGCATGGCCGTGACACATTTTTGGAGTTGTGTGTTGCTGCCTTGCCATCCTGCCATCATGGTTCAGTTCCCGGCCCCCTTCCAGTCTCGGGGTCAGGCTCTGGCCTGTCATGGCGGCTGTCTCCATGATCCTCCATCTGCCTGCACAGACCGAACCCTGCGCAACAGTTCAGTTCTGCGAGGAAACCATGGATGTTCTGTGTCTGCCAGACCCGGTTCTGGAAGGCAGTCATCGTCCATTGCCGTGGTTGTTATTATCATCATGCTGCTAATAGGACCGTGCTGCTAACAAGATGACGCCGCTGCTAACAGAACCACACTGCTAACAGTACCATGCTAAAAGAACCTCACTGCTAACAAAACTATGCTGCTAGCAGAACCACACAGCTAACAGTACCATGGTGCTAACGGGACCATGTTGCTAAAAGAACTTCACTGTCAATAGAACCACTCTGCTAATAGCACCATGCTGCTGTAGATGTATTTCTTTTTCACTTTTGACGCCTTGTTTTGGAATTTTTGCTGCATGCTTTGGTATTTCTTGTTGGGTTTTTTGGGCGAGTCGAGATGGTTCTACTCGTCCTGAGCATTTCGTTGCATCGTTGACCTTATGTTGATCTGCATATGACAAATACATCTAAACCTAACCTAAACTGGTAAATTGAGAGCTTTGCCTTGAGACTCTCTTTCTTCACCACGACTGACCGAAGCAATGCCCTCACTACTTAAGATGAGGCCCGAATCCGTCGATCCATCTCTCATTCCATCCTACCATCACTTGTGAGCAAGATGCCTGGATACACAAACTCCTCCATTTCTTGTGATTCTGATAAGACTGGGATTAAGAAGTTTGAGATAAGACTCACCAGGCAATCCTCGGTTTGGGCCATCCAGCCACGGTGCAGTGCAGCCTCACCGTCTTGCCCTCCCACACAGTCTGTCCACGAGGCTTCACAATAAACTCCGGAGGATGAGTCAGCCTGTCTGGGTTCATTTTCTTACGAAACTCTGACCATTCCTCCATCTATAATTAGGAGAATAATCCCAGAGAAAATCAGCATAAAAACACAAATCATTTACAATTAAGTTCATAAAAGCCAAAATAGCCTAAAAATAATTTACCGTCCTGTCCATCTCCAGGCGTTCTGCAGATTCCCTGACATGCTTTGTTCTTGTTTTCTTCTCCACTCTAACCTCCAAAGCCTCCCTGGCCTCCCTGACGAACAAGTTCCTCATGGCCACATAGTTAATCCCCTCCTCTGTAACTTCATCCTCGTGGGTCTCCATCAGACCTCGGACCACGTCATGGCTTCAATAAAACAAAAATACAAGGTGTGAGAGATGTATTTCATGTCAATAAGCACAATAAAAGCAGCTCTGACTCCAACAAAGGCTTACTCACTTGGCTCTGAAAACAGGAACAACGTAGCCAATAACTTCTTTGTCCTTGTCCATTGCCAGGTAGGTGCGTTTGGCTCTTTTGGGTATCGGGCTCAGTTTGACCACCTCCTGCCCCTTCTCTTTCTTCACAGAGGTCTTTACACTTGAATATAAGAGACAGCAGTAAAATTACAAACAGACAATATTTATTCCCATTACCTGTTACAACAGTCTGTTGAATGCGAAGAGAGCATTCACATACAAGACGAGACCTTGCCTGTACAGTCAAGCGGATTCTGCTGACCAACAATTCTGGATCCAGGATTTAATTAAAAGTTATCAGCGAGTTGCTGCTTTTTATTACTAGTATATCCTTCATTGTTTTGTTTTTACACACTTAAATGAGTAGTTATGTATAATGATCTCTGAAGAAAACTGCAAACAAATACATCAAAGTTCATGCTCAATCATCCAGGTACAAAATCCAATAATGGACAATCAGTTCATCTGGACAGTTTCTTTTTTGTGGAAAGACATTTTGCCCATATCCGGAGGGCTTCATCAGTCTGAGGAGTCCCAAGTAAACTGTTTTCCCCACTAAGCAGTACACTCCTTTAGTGGACCTAAGGTACTGCTTAGTGGAGAAAACAGTTTATTTGGGACTCCTCAAACTGATGAAGACCTCCGGATAGAGGGCGAAACGTCTTTCCACAAAAAAAAAAAAACTGTCCAGATGACCTGACTGACCATTATTGAATTTAGTACCTGGATGATTGAGCATGAACTTTGATGTCTTGGACCACTTTAGCTGTGGCTACCTGCCTGGGACGAGTCGACGGGGGGCAGGACACACCCCAGAAACCATCATATCACCAGCAAACTGGTTGGTCCACTAAAGGAGTGTAACAGTTTACTTGGGACTCCTAAGACTGATGAAGTCCTCCGGATAGAGGGCGAAACGTCTTTCCACAAAATAGAAACTCAGATGATCTGACTGGCCATTATTGGGCAAACTAATACACTTTTTATTTACTCCAGTACTGCAAGCCGTATCAAAAAGTCACCTTTTTTGTTGTTTTTTGTGAAATAAAAAAGAAAAATAAAGACTCCTGCAGAATTTCTACAACCATAAAATGCATGAAGCATACTGGTTTGTCTTTAAATCATCATGCCGGTTACATAAATCCACATTCCCTTTATTTTCCAGCCTTACAAGAAGGTGATACATTTACTTCCACCCTCCAAGACTCTGACCAACACTACTCCATGACTCATCGCCTCTCAGACCTCTTTTTTTGTCGGCAGGGTTTATAAATGGAGCATGATCTCAAGGACATGCAAAAGAAAAAGTCCATTTTAAAGTCCTGCTTTCACTTTTAGCACGGCCTCCCATGTATATGTATGTGACCTGATGGAGAGGTAGAAAACCGTGGCTTTGGTGAACTCTTCCAGAGTGGTATAGGCGGATCATAAAAATGAAAGAAGCTCAGTGTGCAACAGAAGCATACTTATGGAAAGAGTATGAAAACGTTCCTTCCCCTGCTGACTCACCAGGTGCAGGAAACACAGAAACACATTCTGTTGAAAAGAGAATTTTAGTTTTTAAAGTCTCCAGATTTGTGTGTCAATCTTATATTCACATGCAAAGTGTTGCTACAAGGCATCTCCAAACATACACCCGCATGTAATATTTACAGTATTCCCCTTCTCCAGAAACCAGAAACGATGTTCTGACTCCCATAAGTGTATTTACAGTGGGCCTGATGGCAGCGTCTCATGTCAAGCATACAGAAATAGCTCCGCTGTCTATGAATACATCTGGCAGCGCTTCTCTGCAGCTGAAATTCTGTCCTGGGCCCCATTTAGCAAAGCTTTCTGCTTCCAACGTGTACAATAAACCCAAGAGCTTAAAATAAAACTCTTAACGTGGAACAAGGTTATAAGGGTTGGTGACACAATGAAGCTACATGCACAGCTACACTTGTTTACGCCCTTATATTATAAGCTTTGATTAGGAACTATAATGATTTTCAAATAACTTCTCAAATACAGGTTGAATTACAGTAAAATCTATGCAAAATGAGAGAAATGTTGAATATTACTAACCTGTAGAGTCTTTTAAATATGAGCGTTACAATACTATTAAAACTTTGCTATAACTTTTTTAAACTTCTGCATGTTGAACTTTAACACGGTTTATTAGACTATAATCAAGCTATAGTATATGTTCACAACAAAGGTCAATCATTTTCATGCTGAACTGTGAGAACTCCTCACCTTTAATGTGGCGCCACAATCTAAACGAGTGCGATATTACAGAAACTCTGGCGTGGTTTTTACCTGTGAAGCTTCAACCTGAAAGTGCTATTTTGGTTGCAAATGATTTTAAAATCAGTTTGGTTGTCTTTGAATTCTGATTAATATTGTATTTGTAAAATTACCTGCGTGAAATGCTCATGTTTTGCCTCCCAAATACAAAAGGAAAATGCATAAAGCCAGATATTATCAAATATTTAAAGTTTCAGATTAGAACTCAAACTAGAAGTTTAACCAAAGACAAATTAAACTTAGTTTAACAACGTCTAAAACGACACAAAACATCAGTGCAACCTGGAAAAACAGCCTCGATATGCAGATGTTTATACAGACTGACATGAACAGCTAAACAGCTCCTTCTTTTGAAGCACCAACTGAAATAGAAAAATCACAACTAAAAGCTAAAATTAAAAAAACAAATGAACAAAACACTGGCTAAAAGCTAAAGTTTAAGCACGGAACCTTAGCTAAAAGCATCAACCAACGAAACTGAAGCTAAAAAATAAAATTAACTAAAGCAAAAAAAAACAAACAAACAGTAGCTAAAAGCAAAAATAATAGCTAAATCCTAAACGTAGCAAAACATCAGATAAAAGCAACTAAACAACTAAAAAAATAACTTAAAGCTAAATGTAGCAAAACAGTAGCTAAAAGCTAAAATAACAAAACTATTTAAAAGCTGCAAAGAACGAAACAATAACATTATTAATACCAGAAATAGAAGCTAAAATGAGCATAAGAAGATAAAAATAGGGCAAGTATGCATAAAATAGAGAACAATACTTTTTGGGGAAAAAAAGAAGTGTTTGTAAATAAATTTAAATAGCTCAAAAAATACAAAAGTTCATATTACTAAAAATCAAAGCACACTATTACCAGTTTGATGATTGGCTAAAATAGCACAAATAAAACATTTATTGTGTGAATTAGCATCCACACAATAACATATTTATATTTATGTGCAGTAATTTGGGCATGTCTTCACTCCCGGTATCTTACCGATGGCTGCTGGTCTTGTGGCTCTTGTGGGTGGAGAAGGCCTGCTTGCTCACGGATGACCTGCTGCTCAGGTGATAGCTGCTCTCAAACAGCTGCTGCTTCTCCAGCTGTCCATGCAGCTGCTGCTCCTCCAGCTGCTGATACAGCTGCTGCGTCTGCGTCACTTCCAGTGATCGTGACATCCTGAGGGTCACTCCACCCGTTTACAAAGGCTGGCTGCCCTTCACCTGATACCAGCTCTGTAAGTCAATCTCACTGTTATTATCATGGATGGGTGTCTGAACGTTGGTTCGGTATTTGAATATTAGGAGGGACAGTTTAGGGAATTAGTGACTCCTTCATAAAAAGTTTTCTTGGTTAAAGCTGTTTTCAAGCTTTAGAGTTAGTGTTGCTTAAAGTCTACCTCTACTGGGTCACACAAAGCAGCAGGAAAAGAATTAATTATGGCAGTCGTGAGTTTTTCAAGAGTTATTTGGGGGTTTTAAGATAAAATGTTAATTATAACTCAGATAAAATGCAAAAACAAATTTAAAGCATTGTGAATGATACAAAACTCAACAGCGGTTTCTTAAAAAAGTAAAATAATCTTTACTAACGCCAAAACTTGAGTTAATTATTTTGACATCCTGCTATTTAAATGACTATTGACTTCTTGTGATTTTATTTGTCTTATGAAATATCAGAAGATGGAGGCAAATGGCCAACATAAAAAATTGTTTCGCTTTTGCTTTTTTTCTGCTTCAGACAACAAACAGATGAGAATCATGGACAGACTAATGGTTCTACCCTCCACAGACCCAGGGGTTAAACAACAACAACAAAAACAGATGTAAATGAGGGCAGTAGATTAAAAACTCGGCAAGAAATCTGAAAAACTACTGTAAGCTGACACAAAAAGGTTAAAATATGCACAAAATGGATCACAAAGACGTACAAAATGGCTTAGATGGATGGAAAATATAAACCTAGATGATGCAAATGGTCAAAAAGATGTGTTAAATTATCAAAATAAAAGAATAAAAACATTCAACATGACTAGATATCAACAGGATTAAATAAATTACAAAATAGGACCAAAAATGTGTAAATTGATGATATTAAAATACTGCAATATGTCACAAATTACTTAACTTTATCAGAACTGTCGTTTTGTCTCTTTTAGTGAAATGCAGTCATTAATAACAGGGCAAGCAGAGGCTGTGTCCTGGGGTCAGCAAGGTTAAAACAAATGCAGTTCAGCAGGGCAATCTCAATGTATCAGAGGTTACATCTGGAGTTCAGCTGCAGCGTGAGACAATACACAACACAGATGTATTCTCTGCTGTTATCCGATTCAACAAAGCCTGCTGCAAACAGTGGACGCCTTTAAAGGCCACAAATAAAACCGCTTTAATGGATCAGAAAAGTGTTAAAGATGAACAGAATATTATGTTGGATTAGAAGTTGAGCTATCATAGCACATGCAGTTTAACCTACAAGTAATCTATAGCAATGCTTTATTAGTTCAGGGGTCATCAATGAGTTCATTTTCACATATTCAAACAAAATCAATAGAGAAAGCAGGTGTCATTCAAAATCAAAGTATTTTTAAAGACAATCTAGTAGAGCATGTCCTCAATAAAGCATACATGACTTAGAAATAATTTAATATATATATATAAATATATAATTTTATATGCATTACTCACCACAAATAAAAGATATACCAATCCACAGCAAGGAAAAGGGTGTGTTATTCCAAAAGTTGCTAAAGCAAGTTCAGTTCCAGGCAAAGCAGCAGGGTGAGGGGCAGTGGACAGGACAGCAGTCCACAGAACAAAAATAATGCTGCCACTCTGCAGAACGCACCAGACACCGTCAGGACCTTTTAAGGTGAGGGCAGCTTTAAATTTAGACCATGAGGAAGGCAACAGGAGCTGCTGGGCCTGCTTCGGCTGTGCACAGGTGGGGAGCTCTGAGCCTTCTGAGCAGCTTTGAAAGCAGGCACAGATTCAACAACACGTAACCACGACTCTGTTTTAATTTATTTGAGTCCATATTAATGCCTCTGAGGCTTGTAATTAGTTTTAAGTTTGACTGAATACAGTTATTTGATTTTTAAAATCATTTGCACGAATGAATTCTGATGTACTCATTTTTGAAAACGCACGACACTGCTGCCACCTAGTGGTAATAAATGTTTACTACATGGTTTGGCGAGTTGAGACAAAGCGGCTACATTTATAAATGTTGCATTTTTACCTCCTTAAATAAACATTTATGTTATATGTTTTGACATAAGCTTGGTGTGAAATAAAGATAAAAAATATAAATATGAATGCGCCCGACAGTTATGGAACAGTCCAGACTGTTGGTTTCTTCCTGCTCCACTCTGATTGGTCAGTTTCCTCTTCGTCATCTTGCGGATGCGGTGATAGCTTTCTTTTCGCCTTTTTGGTTATAACTTTTACATTTATTTTATTTTTTTCTCAGGTGGGTCATTAATGTTTTATCCATTGAGCGAATGCTTAACGTAAATAACTGAGAATCTACACGTTTCTTTATTATTATTTATCTTAGCTAACATGCTAATGCTAGCCCGTTATGTAGGTCAATATAGATGTGATTAATAAATGTAGATGTGATAAATAAATATAGATGTGATAAATAAAACGGTTTGATTAGGTTGCTGAAGTTGGATGAGTCGATGCATTAGAGCATAGATATAGTCAACATTTCTATATTATATCATCACTGGACGGTCACTGCGGCTGTCAGAAATATTACCGTTAGCAATATGTAGTAATATACCACAATTTTTCTGCATGTTATGATTATTTCAGAGAAATTCTAAAATAAAAAGAGACGATGTGACCCAATAGAATTACTAAAGAAGAAACGCATATGAACCAATATAATAGGTTGAATGAATAGAGCGTTTGATGTGAGTTTCCGTAGTTTCACAGAACGGTTGTAAAATTTCCGAGTCACTTTGAACGCGGCCTAGTAGCGCTCACGTTTTCCATTTACCCTGGAGTTATATGAAACAGACAGGCTTCCGTACTTTTGAAATTTGCCACACAGAAAAAAAAAGGTTTATCCTTTAACAAAACGAAATAAAAATCACAAAGGTTTAAGAGTTGTGTTTTTGATGAAGACACTGTTTAAATGCACAGCGTTTAATAAAAGATATAAAAATAAGAACATTTGTACAGCAAGTTAAGATGTAAAATTAACTGGAAGAGCAAATTCCAATAAGATGTTCAGTCATGAAGAAACATGATGCTATCATAGCTTAAGAGTCCTGTCAGGTTGTACGTTTGTAAGCAATTAATAATAATAATAAAAGGTATTTCTTATAGAAATGTGTGCATCTGTGAAGCATTGTTATTTTAGTTGTAAGTTGGATGACAACTTCCAAGCCATTGTTTAGTCAATCTACATACCTTATTATAGGATTTCTTAATCCATAAAAATAACTACTGTAAATCTGTTAATTTTGTTGCTTGGCTTGAGCTGAAATCATTATGTCGTCTGGATTTCAGGAGCGGGGGATCTACCACACGCCAGCATGTCAAGTAAAAAGGCCAAGGGGAAGAACACCAAGAAGCGTCCTCAGCGCGCCACCTCCAACGTGTTTGCTATGTTCGATCAGTCTCAAATCCAGGAGTTCAAAGAGGCTTTCAACATGATTGACCAAAACCGCGATGGATTCATTGACAAAGAGGATCTTCATGACATGCTCGCCTCATTAGGTTTGACATATTCAAAGTTGGGTTAAAATACCTTTCGGCTTTTGTTTTCATGAAGTACTATTCACTACTTTAACCTCCTTCTTTGTCTACTTTTCAGGTAAAAATCCCACTGACGAGTACCTGGAGGCCATGATGAATGAAGCCCCGGGGCCGATTAACTTCACCATGTTTCTGACCATGTTTGGAGAGAAGCTGAACGGCACAGATCCCGAAGATGTGATCCGAAATGCTTTCGCCTGCTTTGATGAAGAGGGCACAGGTGAGCCGAGTGTTTTCACTGAAACTGGTGTAAAATTATAAGTTCATTTGAATACGCACATGCTTCGCGTCTTTACTTCAAATCCAGCTGTTTTCTTGATTTCAAGTGAAATCATCAGTCACTTTGACGTCTTTCAATGTTTTTTTATCATTACTTCATAATTTCTTCCTACACACATCTAAATTTGTTTCTAATTCGCCCCCAAATGCCTCTTTTTAAAATAGATGAAGTAGTTTTCAACTCTTGGTTTAAGATTAAAATATATTTTTCTCTTTGCAGGTATGATTCAGGAGGAGTACCTGCGCGAGCTGCTCATTACAATGGGTGACCGGTTTACCGATGAAGACGTGGATGAGCTTTTTCGCGAGGCGCCGATTGACAAGAAAGGCAACTTCAACTACGTGGCGTTCACACGTATTCTAAAGCACGGTGCAAAGGACAAGGACGATTAGTGACGAACACTGTACCGTACGAGCTTCTTACTGTACTTAACGCTTAAAATTTAATTTAAATCGGCTATATCCAGTAGTTTGGCTCCTTAAAAAGCTTCACTGTGGTTTATAGCCTTGTATAAGCTGCTCTGTGGATCTGGGTCTCTCTCCCCTTTCCAACTTTTATTATTATTTTTTAATTCAAAGCTTATTTGCACATATTTAAAAAGACACCACTACAAAGTCTGTCCAAGACACGAAAAGCTGCAAATAAATGGACACAAAATGTTTTATTCTGACTGAATTAGTTGTTTTGTTGGAAATGTGAAGTTGTGAGATTAAATTGTGTTCCGAGATAAAACTCAACTTCTTGTTTTTTTTTTCAGATTTATTTCAAAAACAAAAGATAATGGATATGGTGCAGGTGCGTGAATCTGAGGGATGGTTTGAAATACAACTCCACACTTCACGTAAAGATTTAAAAGACTTCATTACACAGCACCAGATAAAAGAGATACAACCAGTTTTATGTTAAAAAAAAAAAAACATGGCCAAGGGCATATAAGCTTGTCCTTATTGAACAGTTTTATATTATTTCTTTCATTGCAGTGACACAGATCAGGATCAACACAAAGACGCTTTGGAACTAGTTTCATTCTGTTTAAATCCCGACAGTAATTTAGTCAAAGTTATTCACATCCTTACTCATAATCCTGGTTTCAGTGAACCTGACTGTCCTGCAGAGAACCAGGAGCACATTGGACTGAAGTGACTCTGGACTATGCAAGCAGCAGCCACAATAATGGTTCTGCTCCGGTAACGTGGCTTTAGAGTAACAATATGAATAAATGATAACACATTTGAAACCACCCCTAATTTCTTCATATTTTGCTTCCAAGAATCCAGACTTTTTTGTAATCTTCCAAAGTACTGTTGCCTGAAATGCATGATTCTTAAGTTGATCCATCTAAAGCTAATGGAATAAGTATAATGAACAATAAATAGCAACGCTCTTGTTGCAGAATGTGAATGAAGCCCTGCAGAACTTAATGAAATTCTAAACAAGTGCCTATGATTTTGTAGCAACACATTGGCAGGGTGTTCATTCATATACGTTTGGCCACACGCTGTAGTTGATACAAAATAGGATGCTACTATAGTATGGAATCTGATGTGATTGATTACGTCTGGTCATTTTGTTGGAGCAACATAATTTTATAGTGCTGACACAATCACACATGTGGCTTTATAGGTTTAGACAGCGCTTCATATTTGTCTTCAACTCAGGGAATCGGTTTTTGTGTCTTTGTTATGAAGTTTCTCGCCACATCACACCCACAATAAATAAACCAGGATCTGCTTCTTGAAGCTCTCTGTTCACGTTGGCGTTGCTCACAGAGCAACATACAGTACAACACAACATCGTGAGACTTCTCTACTCTGCCAGAGCCAGGCTCTTCGACTGAATCTTTGATAGGTGGTCTGATATACAAGCCTCGATCCTGTCGCACTGGGCAAGGAAATCCTATCGGGACAAAATGACATTAATTACATTTTGAATTTAATTCTCAATTGTTTTCAAATAAAATAGAAAAGTTAAGTTGTCCCCCCCAAAAAAAAAAAAAAAAAATCTAACCTGCACTGTTTTTACAAGTCCCTTTTTCTTTGTTTTGCAGTCGATAAAATTTTCCGGGATATTCTGTTAAAACAAAAAGTTTGTTATTGAAAAGGCACATGAATAAAATGCATCTTTAACTATAAATACAAAACTTTAAACACATTACCATGGCGTCTATCTGCTCCAGGATCTTCATGAATTGCTCAGCTGCTATTTTTACTCTATGGTCTAATTTATTCAACGCCTCTGCCTGAAGGTCTTTGGCCAGGAAGCCCTGAGGAGAAACAGTATATTTTACTCCGTGTACATCGGAGAACACAGCAATAAAACTGTTAACAAGCCAAAACGGATTCCTTACATTCTTTAGTCCAGTTAACTCCCCGTCTACGTTCTCTAGCTTTTTAGCCGTCTGTTCCACAGATTTTTCTATTTCTTTCAGCTTCTTCAGCTCAGCTTCCTCCTCTGGGCTGTTCTGTTTACAGATGATTGTCAGTTTCTTTTAGAATATATAGAATTTGGTTAAATATAAAATAAATGTAATTATCTTACCCGCTTTCCAATCATCATGAGTTTGCAGCCGTTTTTTACACCATAGCTGGAGAGACTTTCCTCCATATCTTTCAGAGACTTTCCTAAAAGATGTAAGTACAGAGACATTTACAAACCAAATAATAAAAGCAAAGATAGGAACTGATTTACGGAGTTATAAAAACTGGTCATTAGCTAACTTTGCATCTCAAACTAGTTAGCCTTGTGCAGGAAGCGCAATCTGTGCTGTGACGTTTTACGAACAGTATTTTCACTCAATGGCAACTTACTGTCACACATAAGTACCGTACTTATAACATTTAATACTATCGTTAAAAGTGGTGGGATTTACTTCTTCCTATGATAATATTCATCCTCCACTTTAGTGACATTCAGTTTCAAATATTAATCGTGGCTCACTTGGCAGTGAAACAGAACCAAAAGATAAAGTGTTTACCTTTAAAGATGAGTTTCTGTGAAGCAGGTGGGACACCAGTTGCTTGACAAACAGCATCTGACAGGTCTTTAATGGTGGATCCCTTTCCCTCGTCTTGGCTTGACAGTGTGATGCTGTGTTTAGTCGATCCTGAAAACAGATACATGAAAAAAAAAAAAAGAGGAGTACCAGTAACTAATAAAATATTAGTGAAAATACATCTATGTGCAGTGGTGAAATGTAACAAAGTACATGTACTTCATTACTGTACTTAAGTACAATTTCCATGTATCTGTACTTTACTTAAGTAGTTAAAAGTGGGTACTTTCTACTTTTACTCCACTACATTTTTACATTAAGCATCTGCACTATCTACTACACTACATTTCTATAATGTGTTGTGTTACAAGTTACATTCACACTGGAGTTTTTTAATTTGTTCTTTAGTTTGAAAGTAACCAAAGGCAAGAAGGGAGTTGGTCCACTGAATCACTACAAAGTGGGCAGGTAACGTTAAACACACCTTCAAGAAGAGCTGAGCCATTGACGTATATACTGTATATACATATATACTAGTATATACTGTATATACATATATACTAGTATATACTGTATATATATATATATATATA